CACTGCTATCATGTCCCCCCTCGTCCTTCTCTTCGTTAAACTAGACATACTCAATTCCAGCAGCCATTCTTTATATGATTTAGCCTCCAGTCCTCTAGATGTTTTGATCACCCTCTTCCTTCCCTAGTAGCTGCATCTCATGTTTCCTAAGGATTGTCTAGACTCTATGGCATGGTGCTCCCTTAATTTTCCTCATCCTCTCCTCCCTCTCTCCTTCTCCTTCTTCTGCCTAATCTACAAAGTGTGTGATGCACAGGCACTCTTGCAAGTACATAACGGCTTGGGATGAAAGCCTCTTGCAGAGCAATGCCTGTGATGTATTTAGCGAGAAGTTTTGAGGGGGAGACTTTTCCTACTTGATTATTGCATCTCTTTGATCTTTCACTCTTTGAACCTTTAAATTGTGACATTACTTTTCTGCCGGCACTCACGGAAAGGGTTGGATGAGACTATGGTTGCATGTTCACACCATTGACAAAAGAATTGCCAGATGGCATATGAAGCAGAAGGAGCATGTGGATCAGACAGACAGCATGCTGTCCCTCCTATGGTTTTAGGCATTCCCATCCTCTATCTTACAAATGTAGTTTGTTAATAAATATAGTACAACCAGTCCCCAGGTTAAGAATGAAGTTGATCTCTAAGTCAAATTTGCATGTAAATAGGAACTTGTACTTACAAACAGGTTGCCTAATGAAGTGGCATTCTCATTGTTCAAGGCAACAAATGTTGAAGCTGTGTAATGTTTTCATGAACCACTGAAAACTACTGAAAATAGACTGAAAATATTAAAATGTGTAGATTCAATGGTGCCTACTATTTTTAGTAATAGGCAGCTTATTCAAAGTACAAGTTGTCCATTAAGTCAGATGCTGTTAACTGGGGACCATCTGTAAATAAATACAGAAATAAATAAACAGTTTCTATAGTGTCTCATGGATCTTTGTTGCCTTTGCAGCCAATAAGTATTAGAGGTAGCATGGGGTGTGTTTGTTGACTGCCCTGGCCTGGTTTCAAAAGGCCAAACAAAGATTTTCCCAATTAAGAGGATAAAGTTTGTTTAATCATATGAATATCCTTGATGAGTCAGTTCAGTTTTGAGCTAAACTGATCCTTTTTGGAGTCACTTTTCTTTGTTTAAGTGTGTTCTCATAGCATACTATCTCCTAGCCCCCATTAGTCCATATAAGCATGTTTGGCAACAGAACTTGCGAGTCTCTTTTTCCTGGCTGGATCATGGCTTTTGTTTTTATTTTCATGGTGTAAGTGCATCATGTCTCAGGATGAAGAAAACCATCCAGACTATCCTACATATATGTGCGAAATCCTGTGATCGCAGAGCTTATCTAGAGCTTTTTGAAGCAGCTTCAGTATGAAGGCCAATAAGGCCAGAGATGAAAATAAATAATGCATATATTTAAAGGATATAACATGGGAAATTCTGCTTAAAGTGGGATGCTTCCTTAATCCTATGTGAAATAAACCATAACTGTGATGCATGTGTTGGATAAATAAGAGCTGGTTTTTTTTTTCCATTTTAACTTTCAATCTGACCCAGTTCCAAGGAGTCTCTTTTCTTCTGCAGCACATTTCATTGTTTCACTATCCTTTCTCTGTCTCTTCACTCCTCCTTCCCTGCCCCATTTCTAAACTGAGTAGAAGAAGCACAATGGAAGCTGTTCACGGTCAGATTAGAAGGAGGTGCATTTTACTGAGCTAAATGGCTAATTCCTTCCTTGGAAAACATTCATGCATTTTCATTAACAAAAAAAAGCCCTTTAGCAGCCAAAGGATCACAACTAGTTCAAGGATAAATATGTCTATGTGTGTGCGCTGTAACAAACAAAGCCCTTCTCTAAGAGTGTAGCTAAAGGCTGTAGGATGAGATAAGGTGAAACATTTTTTTAAATGTTTTCCTTTTGGTCAGTAGCAGATAATAAAAGGAAGGCCAAAGAGGAACTGAGAAAGCATCAGAGTGGCTATAATGTGTGGATTATATTTTTGCAATAAGATTGGCCTTGTATCAAGTGAGATGTTTTTCTTCTTATCTAGCCTTTCTCAGTCTACCTGACCTCCTGCCAACTCATTCCCTTTGCTTGAATCTGCTGCTTGTCTTAGGTAGTGTTGGCATATCTCTTGCGTTAGACTTTACAAGGTTGCTAACTCTTGGAGGGACCAACAGCATATTTAGAGAAGCACACACAGTCTTTAGTGGCGTTCAGTTTGGCAATAAGCCTGGGACTGTAGAGGAGGTGGGGAAGGAGAATTGATTACAAGGTAACCAGTGTGGTACAGTGGTTAAAGAACCAAGCTAGAAACTGGGAGGCTGTGAGTTCTAATTCTACCTTGGGCTCAAAGTCACTTGGGCCAGTCACTCTGTCTCAGCCCTAGCAAATAGGCAATGGCAAACCGCTTCTGAAAAACCTTGCCAAGAAAACTGCAGGGGCCAGTCCAGCCAACTGCCAAGAGTCAAGACTGATTCAAAGGAAAAAAGCTAAACAGGGTTCTGTAAACATTTTTTCCCTCATACTTCATATATTTATGACAGGGATAATGACTATAGCTTTGAACCCTCCCCACCTTTTTTGCTAAAGATGATTAAGGTTGTATCATAAGAATATATCATTCAATTATTTTGGGGGGAAATTAAAAAGAAATATCTTTTGCACACTGATTACTTCAACTACTTAGATATATGTTAGAGGTGTGTGTGCACATGCATGTGCACATGTGTGTATGAGAGACACTGTTTTCAATAGGGGAAAAGATAGATCCCCAATCCTTTCTGCCCTATCTGACTACATTATTATATATCTGCCCTATCCATTGTGGCCCTCAGGCACTATTTTTTTGTTTTCTGTTGGACTTTGTTTACATGTAACTCCTAGTTGCCGAACATTGGCTGCCTCTGTTTTGAATGCACCAACCCACACATGCGCACTGCTGTGAAGAACTGGTCCTTTTCCTTTTGACCAGCCTGGCTATGAAAGGAGTGCACCACATTATATCCCCAAGCACGCATGCATACACTCACTCATCTACCCACCCACACATATGAGGTTATTGTTCCTGCCCATGATTTGAGTTACTGCTGATTCATGTTATTTATGAAAGTTCACCAATCACAACAGTGTGAAGGAACAGAGGCAGAAGGCATCTGGACACAATAAAACCCTTTATTCCACCTTAAAACAGAAGCAAATGCCTCCAAAGGTTAGAAGTTAGAAAACGATTCAGACTGAACTTTAGCCTTTGTTGTTGTTGCTGCTGTGTTAGAAAAGCAAAACCAAACTTCTGAGAGTGCAATTCATTAATTCCAAGACTTTATTTTCTGAAGGATGAACCACTTGGACATGGAAATTAAACTAGCGTGCCTGTCACGCAGCAGGCTTAAGTATTAGGCAGATAAGTTAAACTTCATGAAGAATAAGTGTTTTCCCACCATCTTTTGAGACACCACAAAAATGCTGGCACTGTGTCATATGTCAAATAATTTAGGATTTGGGATTAATCTGGACACAGAAGAAAATACATTTCTAGATACAGAAAAAGAATTATAAGAATAAAACACTGGATGCACAATAAGATACCATCTCTTAATTTTCCATTCAAATCTATGTTTGCTTGACGGCAAATGGCTGCCACCTTGCGGACAGAATTAGAATCAGAATTAAGGCAAGGATTATATGTGGGTGCTTAACTACTACTCTTTTAACTATCTGAGTTATTATTGTGTTTTAAAATATCATTAAATATTATATGATAGGCAAACGTGTGAATGTCTATATTTTGAAAAACATAGCCAAAAGGATATGTAGAAAGGAGAACATATGGTTTGCTTAATCATTTTTGTAAGGCATATGTATACACTGAGCCAAACCATTGAACTAAGCACTTTATGGTGTGAGATCAGCCATTAATGAATAATATGCATGTATATTTATGCGTACACACATATATGACACTATCCTCTGTGTATATGTGTCTGTATGCATGTATGCATGAGTGTGTACACACATACAATTCATACACACATCCAGGGTAGTGAGTGCAGTTGATAAAACAGCTGGTTTTAGCAGATGGTCTTGGTACCTAATGCCAAATGCACTAAAATGTTTGTTTGCAAAAGCTAATTACTTTCTTATATAAACACTCAGCAGAACTTAAAATTCTCCTTTCACTCAGGAATGTAAAATTCTATCATTCGAGCATCAGAAACTGTTTTGGATTGAATTAGAGTACTGATCCTCTAGTTTATAATTGTTTATGCTTCAAAGTTTCCAACTGTGGTTTCTTCGGTCTTTTAAGCATCTGGGATCTTTTGTCACTACAGATTCTATAAAGGAATCTTATTCATGCACATTGGGCGCACTTCTTGTACAATAGTATACCTCTTTTGTGTCCAGCAATGTGTTCAACTTCATCAAGTTGTTTTACTTAATTGAATCAGCCTAGGTTTTTTTTTTTTAAAAAAAAAAAACATTTAGTTGATTTAGAAGCCATTGTGGTTTGTCTTCCAGTCAAAAAAAGCCTGCTGGGGCAGGAAGATGCCATTGTTTAATTCAGTGTTTCCTAACTTTCATAACTTTAAGATGCATGGACTGCAACTCCTAGAATTCCCCAGCCAGCAGCTGGGAGCTGAAGTCCACAGATCTTAAAGTTGCAAAAGTTGAGAAATATTGGCTTAATTTCTGAAAAGGAACTTCGAAGTTTACTGCTGTCCTTCTCCTAAATTTTAAAGGTAATGACTTAATGGTGAAGAAAATTTACTTACCACATAGTCAGAGGCACACAACTTTATTATTACTTTATATATACCAGGACGCTGCCCCGATCATGCCTGGAAAAAATACAGTCCCAAGCTGAAAATTTGCTAATTTTCTGGTGATAATTTGCATGTGATAGGAAGCCGATGGAATTTTATTGCTTTCTTGCCCTTCTGTATATTGTTCTGAATCAGGTTTCAACAATCTGGGGATAATACATCCATTAATGTAAAGTGAAGTTTTAAAAAATGCTGCAGTTTTATTATTTTTTTTTATACAAACTAAAACACCAGTGGTCATTGAACCCTATATTAAATACATAAATTAAAAAATAACCATCCATAAAACTTTACATACAGTAAGGATCTTCATCTACACGTTAATACATACAGTACATATACATGGGTCCCAGTGTTTATCAAAGAGTCATCCTGCCAAATAATTTACAATTCTCTTCTGGAAGTATAGACACAAAAAGGGGAGGAAGTTATATACAAGGAGATGCAGTAGAGAAAGTAGAATTGCAATCAAATAGAGTAGCACTTTCCTGAATTTAAATTCAGAGAGATAAAAAGGGGTCAGTTAGCATAGTCCAAATAGAAAATAACAGAGGAAAATACTTCGTTAGTTCACCAGAGCAACTGATTCCCAGGTGGCTGACTGCCCTTGAGAAAATGGAAATGTTACCACACTTGCAAGAAAACTATGCTGCGTTACCTTTCCACATGTCAAAAAGGGAAAGCGTGGTATTGTAAGAGTTGTGAAAAGTAATACTGCTGAGTTGCATATGAGGCTTTTTTACTGAATATTTGCCACACAAATGCACACACACCCCCTTTCATTTCAAAAGGCTAATTTGAGACATCTTTCTCAATAGTGATGTCAATGGAAGCCACGTGGTGTTGATGCTGGAAAAAAAAAATACTGTGGAGTTGTCAGTGAAATGTCAAATTGAAAACACAAGGAGCCAGTTGCGATGGCTTAATCCATCTGGCTTTATTTTATGAAAAATTCAGTAGGGAGATCCTTCCAGTGGGCCTGACCAGCGGGGTCTGGTGGGTTACAAATGCTTGTAGGATTAACTGTACACACATACAATGACTTCCTGTGCTAGTTGGTGCTATAGGGCCACTTTCATTAGGATGAAACTGCGAATTCACCTTCACCTTTCCCAGAAGCTTCCTGCCTCTGAAACACCCTTTTCATCCCGCAAACTCCTTCTTGGAAGTGGAAATATAGTTTCATAAGAGGTAAAAGCATCCTACTATGTACACAGAAATATATATATATATATATAATGTACACAAAAATATGAATGTATTGACATACATATGTATATAAGGGAACTAATGTTGACTTGTGGAGAGTTTGAGAGTCAGTGTCAAGAGGTGGATATTAGGCACAGATTGGGTTTCACTGAGCAGAGGGGGGAAAAAAGCCCCTTCTGAATGTTCTCCATAGTAAACCTTCATGTATGGAGCTGGGGTTTAACTATCCTCCTCCACAGCTTTAATCAAAAATCTGGTTGTACATATCAGAGAAAGTGGGCTGAACATGCATTTACAAAGAACATATTGCAATACTAAAGGCAGAGCTGAGAAGATTGTAGTTTCTTCAGCATGCTAAGACTGTTCCTTAGCATTTCCTTAAGTGATACTTTTCAAAGGATGGAGGAGCAATTGAAATTAAATTCCATGAGAATAGAAAGACACAACAAGGGACAAGTGTGACAAAAGACAACAAGCCATATGCTATCAACGCAACTCTCTTGCCCCAGACTGAAAGACCTATTTTTCTGAACTGTTAAAAGGATGAAATCTCAGTCACTCCATACAGAGGAAGTCAAATGACAAAGGCAAATTATGTACTGTATTGTCTGATGATGATATTTGCAGAATAGAAGATTTACATGGGTACAAGAGCAAATATATCAGTGATATCAGCCATTATTACCTAATAAAGTTATGTTTATATTTGGATGCAATTGCATGTTGACATGGTCCTTTTAAGAAGAATCACTTCCATCAGTGAAACAGGTTAGTGGTCACACAAGGCAAATTTGCATGTTGAAAACACAATTGAAACATAGAGCTGGGTATTTATTTATGACCCAATCCTATAAGAAAACCGAGACATTTAAGAAATGGTAGCTGTAAGCGCAAAGTCCCAGTGATATAAAGAAATCATACTGCTACATTCTAAGTTTCATGGAAGATGTTATATAGCTGTTGAATGTTTCTTCTTTTAAATATCACATTGTGTGTGTATGTCTTTGTCTCTGTGTTTGTGTGTATACATCTGCATGTTTTATTTCAGTTTTATACTGCACTAATGCTAGAGAGGGAAAATTTTAAACCAGTGTTTCTCAAACTTGGCAACTTTAAGCTGTGTGGACTTCAACTCCCAGAATTTCCCAGCCAGCAAGTTTGAGAAGCACTGGCTTAGACTGTCATAAGAATTCACTGTGTATATATCTTTTCAGTGTGTTGTAGTTGCCAGTAACTGGACTGAGGTGATCTATAACATTCTCTTACAAAACAGGAAATAGTCTGCACGCTGAATATTTCTTCCTCAATTATTTTAGAACCACAAAGGTATATAAGTCTAAGTGCTATTACTATTGCTACATGGATAAGTTTACTTGGTTCACTTTCCTCTACTTCCCGGTAGATGGACCACAGCAACAACTAGTATATCAAGTTCATGTGCTTATGGTCCTCCAGGCAGTAACAGGCAGCTTCACCAGTTTGCTGTCCTCCTTGGTAGCAAAAATACAGCAATAATATGTTAACTAGCAATTAGGACCACAAATCATATACTAAATGGTACAGGTGGCAAATAGCATACTACTACGCATATCTCCATAAACTTTCAGTTTCGTATAGATATCAGTCGTCATGAATTTCATCTGTAGCTTCTGGGATTCCTCTGACAAAGACTAGGGAATTATAAAAAAGAAATGAAAATAAGTATTTAATTTTTTTTACTGGAATCATTTGACAATAGAAAGCAAACGGCAGATGAAAAACGTCAATCACAAGATAGAAAAAAAATTGGGGTTTAGATAGAAAAAAATTGGGTTTTTGGGGAATATCATCAATTTTGCTGAATACGTTATATAAATAAATTACATTAAACTGTTTCATATAGAGTTGCTCTTTGGAAACCTAATCATATTCTGCAAGGTATATTACCGTATAATAAACGCAGAAACAGATAATATTAGAGAATCCTCAAGGAACAAGATCAGTAAAGGAAGATATTTTGCTTTTCAGTACTACTGTTTGCTTGTGTGCTGTGTGCAACCTACAATGCATTCTCATCTAACAAGGACAATTTCATGCCTGGACATTTCCCAGCAAGCTTTAGTTGCATGCTTAGGTCCAGAGCAGACTGGTACATGTGGAAGAATGTTCTTGAAGTTGGAGGCCAAAAAGTAACTTATCATTAAGCAATTCAAAGTTTGACATGTACCTCTTTTCTCTTTATTATATTTTTAGTTGTAATGGTCCTATTCAATGAAAATCTAAAAGGAAGGGACAAGTTCAAAGAGAGATATAGTTTGGATCTAAGTAAGATTTTGGAATTATATGATGTAAATTTATCAAAGTATATTAAGTATGTACTTTGAGGCATGCAATACATATCAAAATCTTCAGCGTACCAACTGGTTGACTACAAGGGCTGAATCCTTGCCTCCTTTGGAATTTTAGAAGCAGATTTTAGAAACCAACTTGATATGTTCTTTGGTTGATAGAACAAAACTGATTACACAGACTCAACTCAGAACTGTACTTGAGAAAGAACAGACCAAGAGATTCCATTGAGTAGTCCAGTTGTCTGCTATTACCATAATTGTGTGATAAATAACAATATTTTTTCTGGATGGCTAAATACTAATTGTGTTTAACTTAAAATCTAAAGTATCTGAAAGAGCCTGAGGGTCCCTTAGAGAAATATCTTCAAGGTTTGCCTGACCCTCTAACGAATTCCCAGAGGCAAAGTCCACCAAACTACCTGTGACCCAAACAAATACTAGGAAAGGATGGATTTTTAAAGAGCAGATATGAAGCCAGGTATGGGTGAATATAGGGCTAATTAATGTACTTGGGTATCAAATCAGGCATGATGATGAGCAAGCAGTAGATGCTCAAAATGTTCAGCCTTGCAATCTCGGATTGGAAGAGATTTCGCTAGATGACTTCAGACCGATTTTGAGTGCTAAGCTAAAGTACACTTATAAAGATGGATGCTATTATTATTGATATGAGTTCAGGAACAAACATCCAGAAGAAAAATAAGATTATTTCTTTTATTTTTAAATGTAATTAAATTATACAGGTTTATGGGTGACCGTCCAACCCTTGTTGGGCGGTCTATAGGGGGAATAAACATGTCTACCATATCTGGGCTGCAGATTAAAAAAAATCCAAGCAAAGAGATGCAGAAGACACTTTGTTGCCATTTGATTGGTCGTTTGGATTTTTACAGTCCAGATGTGGTAGCCTAAGAGGAAAGTACAAATGGAAAAATTGGGCAGTAAGGATTTTTGGGAGCAATAGTGGTGGGATACTAATCTCCACTAATCTCTCCTGCTGTCTTAAGTGCACTGATCCCCTTGCCCTGAATGCAAGGAATTAATAAATAGGAATTTTTTTTCAAATACAAGTCAGTGATTTCAAAGGACCATGAGCATGACCAAGAAATACTTCCATAAGGAAAACCATCAAAACTGAAGGTAATACCTTGTCACCTAGAAAAGAAATGCTGCATTAAGATACTATAGACCTTAATGCTACTTTCAGACCTATTCTCACAAAATAAATTTGCATTTTTACGTGCAGGCTTGCTAATCAAGAGATGTAGATGAACTCCTTACAATTCTTGCAGCCAGTGAAGAAAAGAAACATGATGAGGGAAAACAAAAGGCTTATTTCATTAAGCACATTAACTGCTGAATGAATTAAAAGAAGAAATTTTGTGAAGCTGAAGTCTCACTAAAGGTGTTTGCTTCTTCTCAAATGCCATTGTTTCTTACCCTTCTATCCCAGTTCCTGAATAGATATTAAGCAGCTAGTTAAATTAGTGTGGCATTCTTGGAAGAGTTTTTCATTTGACGTAACATACATTTCTAGCGCACAGTTCTTCATGGAGGGTTTTCATAAGACGACAGCATTGGTCCTCACAAGCACTGTCAGCCACTCTCACTAGGCCTGATCATCCTTGATCCAGTAGGCAGCAGTAGGTTAATGTCAATTATATCAATCCTGTTGTCCACCCAGTTTGAAACAAAAATAAGAGTTTTTTTTGTTCACATTGCAGCTGTCATTGTTCCTGAGTTTAAAAACAGAAAAAAAAGTGTCCCTGTATTAAGAAAGCCAATTTTTTTTCAAATGGATATTATTGTAATGGTCCTCTTAGAACTCTAAATACTTTGTCCCCTCAATTATTGAAGACTTTTATGGGAAGTTGATGTTTTATGTTTAAAATAATACCCCTGCACAGCAGGGATTGATAGTCTGTAGTCACTTTGGTTCCTTGCCTGACATACTTTTATTCAATCTGCTGAATGTGGCTTCTTGCTGATTTTTTTTAAAGAAATAATCTTAGTGATGTATGCTGCTGGGATATTCTCTTCTTCCTCACAGAATTCCTTTAAGTGCAGCTGATATTGTAGCTTTAGACAGGAACTGTCAAGTAACAAATCTTGAATAATGGCTTTAAACTGCATGGTGGGAGTGGTCTTGATTGCAGAATGTTGCTTTGTTTTAAAGTAGTTGTAAACAGTGTTCTTTTTGTGGGTTTGGAAGCATCTGCCTTCTCAGGACTTTTCTGTGTTGTTGATCAGTCTGGAAAATGAAAAAAAAAAAAAAGCACTGTTGAAGGAATCTGCATTAGTGAAATTTAATTACCCTGCAAGTTCCATGAACTCTAGAGTATCTTATATTGGATTAAAATAAGTTCTCATTTATTCTTTAAAAACTGATTATTGCATTTATACAACCTTTGCTCTTGAAAGCTCAAGGATACATATCCTGGAGCTGCTACCCAATTTATTCTTTCCATAATATAGGGTTGCAGAGCTACCAAAGTCACTCACTAAGCTCTGTGATCAAGGCTAGTCCTGCACATGGTTCTCTAGTCCAAGTCGCTATCTTAACCATTATATTACTCTGGATCCAAATTTATAATACATCAACATTTTAACATTTTGGACATACCTTCATAGATAACAGAATAACAGAGTTGGAAGAGATCTTCTAGTCCAACTCCCTGCTCAAGCAGGAGACCCTATACCATTTCAGAAAATGGATGTCCAATCTCTTCTTAAAAACCTCCAGGAATGGAGTATCCACAACTTCTGAAAGGAAGCTGTTTCACTTATTGTTATCACTGTCAGGAATTTTCTCCCTATTTCTAAGTTGATTCTGTTCTTGATTAGTTTCCACCATTGCTTTTTCTCCTGCCTTCATGTGCTTTGAGAATAGCTTGACCCCCTCTTCTTTGTGGCAGTCCCTGGGATATTGGAACACTGCTATCATGTCCTCCCTCGTCCTTCTCTTCATTAAACTACATACCCAATTCCAGCAACTGTTTTTCATGTTTTTGCTTCCAGTCCCCTAATCATCTTTGTTCTTTGCTCTTCTCTGCATTCTTTCTAGAGTCTCAACATCTTTGTTATACTGAGGTGACCAAAACTAGATATAATATTCCAAGAGTGGTCTTACCAAGGCAGAGGCTAATCAGTTTAGATTAAATGAGAGATGTTTGATCTGCTAAAAGTCCTATATGGTTCAATATTTTTCTGCCACACTGGCCATTCAGACCCATTGGAACTACACACATCAGAAATCAGCTCATCAGCTTCTTTTCATTTATGATTTCTAGCAATGTTATCTGGACATTGATTTGATTGACATTAACACTGGATTGTTTTAATAAATGATCTTCTTGCCCATTGTGATTCCGTGATAGTTAATACTATATCATCTACATAATATTTGAGCTTATGGTGGTATATTTGAGACTTGTTATTTGTCATCTTGGAACATTTTTGCCAATATTTCTACAGGAAAGATAATAACAGGGGAGAATGTAGATATCTTGCCTTGTACCTTTACTTATTTGAAAGAGTGGAAAGTTCTCCATTGACTGAAAATTTTCCTATGTGCCATTGATATATATATATATATATATATAATTTTGACCCAAGATCTGAACTCTTCTCTGGGGTTCATTGTGTTCAGCATATTTAACCTTTTATCATGTTGAAATACACTGCTCTCATGCTTTTATTCTATAACAATAGGAAATCATTAAATACAATGAGGTACTTAAAAACTATACTACGGTATGACAATAAATTGATTACTACAAATTACAGTTTTGTGTTTGAAAATGTAACTTACAAATAACTTATGTGAGGAAAAATAATAATATATGCACATGTATACACCATACACCAAATATACACATATTCATACAGACAATTTCATTGGGAAAGAAAATATTCCATTATGTATTACAATAAATAATGTTTTAGATTTTTAGGTGTGTGTGTGTGTATGTACGTACGTACACACACACACACACACACACACACACACATATATACACACTGTATGTAGGTCTTTGGTTATTTGGGTTTTCTCCCGTGTCAAATTGGAAGTGTCTTGGCGACGTTTCGATGAAGTCTCATTCATCATCTTCAGGCTGGTGCTTTCGGCTTCGTGCTTCTAGGAGCAATGTGTGATCGTAGCTGTTTCTTCCTTTTAACTGCCAGTGGGGGTATGAACTGATTGGATGAGAGCAGGTTAATCTGAGTTGCAGGGGGATGTGAGATGGTGAGCATTGCCATTGCTTGGCTTCGCGTCCGTGGCCGTGCCACATCTTCATGGTGAGAACCCCTCCACCATACATGAAGCAAACTGACACCCACCATGAAGATGGGGCACGGCCACAGACACGAAGCCAAGCAATGGCAATGCTTACCATCTCACATCCCCCTGCAACTCAGATTAACCTGAGCACAACAAAGCGCCCACCCAAACAGAACACTCCCCCAACCAATCAGAGCACAGCAAACCCCCCATCCAATCAGAGCACAGCTAAGCTCCTAACCAATCAGAACACACCTCCATCCAATCAGAACACAGTCAAGCTCTTATCCAATCAGTTCATACCCCCACTGGCAGTTAAAAGGAAGAAACAGCTACGATCACACATTGCTCCTAGAAGCACGAAGCCAAAAGCACCAGCCTGAAGATGACGAATGAGACTTCGTCAAAACGTCGCCAAGACACTTCCAATTTGATGCGGGAGAAAACTCGAATAACCAAAGACCTACATATATATATATAAGTGTTATGTATACGTACAAACACATACCTGAATTTTACTTACTAGGTAGCTGAAATTTGCTTTGATAGCTTTTGCAGAACTTTTGCTCTCTGTGTAATATGTAAAAAGCAATAGAACTTTGTGAAATATTTAACAGTTCCTCAGTTTATCCTTCCATTGCCGTCTCTAATATGAGTCCATATATTCACATAATAACTGTGCTACTTTGGAACTGAATTGGAAAAGAATATTCTGATATCAAAAAGGAAAGAAAGAATCAGCCTTACCTTTCAAGAGGCACATTGACATCAAGGCCAAAGAATAAAGGCAAGAGAGAAGAACAAGAACAGAAACAGAAACTGCAAGAAAAAATAGTTTTAAGAGGTCAGATCCTTTTTTATTATCATAGATATGGCGTATGATTTGAAATGAAATAAAATCCAATAGACTTGGTCTAAGAAATCATACAGGACTAAAATTTAAGGCTTTATCCTACTAGTTAATCTTCTTAGTGCTAATCTAATATTAATGGTTTAAGTTTTGGTGATATCATCTGATCCACAGGTAGCTGTTTTCCCATAGAGGAATTCCAAGTCAGTTCATTGGAAGGACTCAACCCACAAGATATCCTTGTCCTAAATTTCTATTTCCTAAGTTTCATTGAAACTCCCTTTTTGATTACATTAGTAATTTAGGGTGAATTATTTATATTTTTGCAATCAAACTTGATTAACAAGAAAACCTAGCAAAAGGATAGCATCATGAGTAAGCTTTTGTGTTATGAACTCCAGTTTTTTATGTTTAATCACAGTGTTTAGTCTTCTCCTTGAAACAACATCCATCATGCTATAAATGAACCATGCCAGTATTTTAATTTGTATTTTAAACTAAGATAAAATATTAGTTAGCTAAAATCCCCTGAATTTATTGACTGATTCTGAGAAAACAGTCTATTAAATAAAAGGGCAGATTGAAAAAAGAATATAGTACCACTACAGTATAATAATATTTTAAAGCTGGTTATTCTTATTGTGTTCAAACTGATATAACGGTAAAATAATGGGTAAAATCTGATTTCTGTTATTTCTTTATTATTATAGTGTGATTTTAAAGGGAATCTGAATGAGGAGAGAGATTAGATTCTGATATCATTTGAAGACACCCAAAAAATGACACCCAACAGTCAGAGAGAGATTGAAAACCCTTCCTGGTTAGTGGGGCACATAATTTGCCTTGGTTGTGTTCTTCCAAAGATCATCAAAAGGTTCCCATGACATCTCTGAAAATGGTGGTAGAGTATTGGTGAAGGGAAAGTTTTGCTTTTTTCTAATAGAATGAAATCCATCCATCCATCCATCCATCCATCCATCCATCCATCCATCCATCCATCCATCTACAAAACCCTCCTGGATTAGAATACCTAAGAAGAAAATAAAAATCACCATAATTTATTCACAGTACTATAGTAATATAACATTTCCCAACCAGATCTCTTCCAGTTGTTTCATACTCTTATAATCCACAGCTAGAAAGACCATGAAAACTGGAAATTGCTGGAAATTACTGGAGCTGAATAGTAAAAGTCTGATTCAAGGACAGTTGACTGAGAAATGGCTATGCTAAAATAACTAGTTGGAGCTCCTAGAGTTATAAAATAGGAAATTAAGTATTGATTTTTTTTATATGTAAAACAACCAACCTTTTCTTCCAAATCTTTTATCTGCCTCTTCTGGATGTCTGTTTTATCTTCTAAATCTCGGATCCTCTAGAAACAAATTGAATATATCCATAAATAATCAAATAAATGAAAACCCTCATTTCTTATGAAGTCTGATTAAAGAAAATTCATTTAAAACTAAAATTCACACCTATGAAAAATAAGTATCTAATTACATGGGTTTTAGCCTTCTCCAGGCTGAGGGACAAACTTGGCTTCATAATTAAGTGAAAGGATTTCACTTTAACATGGAGGGAATGTGGCCTATTAAAAAACTAACAATTTTAATTTGATTAAAATTTGTATTTACACGTTCATTGCTCTCTAATATGAGCCACAATCTTTAATAATTATTTAACCATTTCCCTCACATTTTATCTCAATAATAAATACAATGGAACCCATATATAAACTGAACCTCCCTAATGTTTTTCTATACTTCGAACCTCACCTGATGTGCCTGTTGAAGCAATTCCATTCTCTCTTGAAGGATCTGACAGTCATATTCTCTGCTTTTTCTCAGCATTTGCCTTCTCAATTTCTCTACCGCAGTTCGAAGTTCTTCCTGCTGTTTTTCACTCAGCAGTTCTCCAAACTTTATCACTGTTTCTTGTTGCAAAGCATTGTAAAGGGTAGCCTCAAGCTCCTGGATTCTCTAAGCAATAGCATAACAAAAATATGGAAGGGGGATACAATCTGGTCAAAACTATCTGTTTGTCTCTGTACGTATTTTAGATCAGAACCAACTAGAATTAATAGACAATAACTATGCTATGTATTTCTCTCAAACACAGCATACTACATTCAACGCCTCAAATCTGATGATCACTAATAGCTCCATATGACATCTGAAAGTAAACTTTTTTACTCCCACTACCTATCCTCCCTCCTTTTCAGGACATACCATTGGTTTTTCTATGCATTCCAATGGTAAATAAAGCTCTGTGTGGACAGTGCTTCACCCTGTTGAAGTTAACATGCAATGTGCTATGCCTTTGGGAGTGGAAATTCAGATATTCACTGGAGCTCTCCATTATGTAAGGAATACAAAAAGTAGTCTGACACATTATTTCATAGAAAGTTCTCTCTTTCTGTCTCTCTCACCCTTCTGTCGAGGTGGGGCCAAGTGACTGGATACAGCTGAGCATTTACTGACTGGATGCCCTTTCTGAAACCTACATGGAGTTGGCAGCACATATTTTCTCTTTGTGCCCTGATAGAGAAACATCTGATGCTGCCTAGGACTGAACTCTCAACCTCCTGAGAGTGAGATGAGCTTCTTCACCCTGCCTCTTTCTTTCTTATCTAAAAATCACATTAATTTGGAGTTTATTTTAACTAAACTCACATGAGAACATCCTACAAGCCCATGCATTTACCGCTGGAGTGCAACAAACTTGCATTCTGAAATGTACTTTTGTTTCCATCCTTGGCTTTCAAATTACCATATAGGCCTGATCAAGAGCTTGTTTCCTGTAGTCCAGTTCTTCTTCCAGATAACCTTTTATTTTACAGAACTGCTCCTACATTGAATGACAGTTTAAAAAAAATACTACCTTTATTATTATTGAAATAAGAAAATATATACAGATAATCATTAACTGAATCTGGCTTCCCCCATTGATTCCGCTTATTGGAAGGGAAGGTTACAGTTGGTGATCCCATGACCTGGGGGACAGTTCAACTGTCATAAATACATGCCAGTTGCCAAGGGCCCGAATTTGGATCACATGACCATGGGGATGCTGCAATGCTCGTAAGTGTAAAAAAACAGTCATATAAGTCATTTATTTCAGTGCCATTGTAACTCCAAATGGTCACTAAACAAATAGTTGTAACTCGAGAATTATCTATAATAATACTCAGACAAAATCAAAGCAAACTCCAGCAGGCAACTAACAATAAGCATAGGATACAGTAAAAACTGCCCTTGCCCCCATTCCCAAAAGGTTTTCTTTCCTACCATGTCACTTTCCAGTTCCATCATCTTCTGGTGCAGAGCTGCTTCAGCCCCCTCAATCTGCTGTATCCACTAGGAGGGGAAAAAAAAGCTATTATTAAGTCCCAGTTCCAGTTCCACTTTCAGGACTATAATATTACCAAAAGTGCTGTCTTTCTGTTTCGTCAACTGTAAACTCAGAGAGTAGAATTTTGACTGAAGTTGCTTATAGCCACTTGCTATCAGTTGATCATCAAGGAGAAGAGGAATGAGAAATGAAATCTGACTACTTCCTCTGACCTGGAATTGAAACGTATCTCCAGATCTATGATGGCTAGTTACAGCTGAGGAATGTCCTGTACATGATCAGAGGTGTATGGTTACTACCTTTTAGGTCTCAGACCTGAAAATATTTTCTAAGCAAAGTCTTGGCAAGTCTTAGGCTAACTGTGTGCATTTATTCATTTTTGTGGCTATTTTTGTCTTTCCAAAATATTTATTTTGTTTTGTGCTGCTATACTACTGAATGCTGACCATTTGTATTATTATTTAAACATATGCAGACTTGGAGCCATCAGAGACATCTGTCCTCTGTTTAAAGTACAGATTGACCTAGTTAGTGTACATTACTACAGCATGCATCATACTATGCTATTTTTCATAATTTCTCTACTTAAAAGACAAACCCAGCTAGCTGGCATACCTAAAATATATCATTACTTACTCTGTTATTATTCTATAATAAGGCTTCTCTAGACAAAGAGTTCTTATATCTAGAAATGTATCTATATAATTAAATACTAATTTCGTCAACATGGACTGGAGCCAACTGGCTAAAGCAAGCTGTGACTTGGACAATTGGAAAAGTTAAATAAAGCAAATTAAAATGGTTGCCTTAGTGGGAGTCCAACTTGAACAAGGTACTTTGGGTGTACTTTGGATAACATTTCATTGTTATTTGTTCACACCACACATACAGATTGCATATTTTCCCATTAATTGCATTTTTCTCTTCTATTCGTAATTCTGTATCATGTGTTAACCTTTTTGATTCATATTAAATAATATACATGAGATACAAAATTTTAAAATACCTTTTCTGCCAGAGATAATACAGTACTGGCTTGAATTATAGCCACTTGCTCTTCATTTCTCAAATTCTGAAAATTCAAGAGGCAGAAAATGAAATTAAGAAAGCAGCACTAGTTTTCCATGCAGACATCTGGTCAATATCAGAAAGTTTTATTCTGATGCATCTCTTCTTGATGCAGGGATTTTGATACCCTGAAAAAGTCCTAGTCTTCCACATTTACTTAGACAGAAATTCCAACCAGCAACCTATGAGCAATTCCCAAATTTCATTTTTGACTCTCTGAAATATTAAAGACTCAAAATTCAGTGGTAGATCACTGAGATTTTCAGCTACTTTTTTGCATGAAGTTAAGCCACAGAATCAATCCATTATGTTTTTAACAGATGTAACACTCCTAAAAATTAATTGCAAAAAATGAAAAGCATAAAGAGAGAAAAATCAAGTCAAAACTCTGTGTTATGGTTTCGAAGTTACTCCTGAAACCCTTGCAACCCAAAGCTGTTGATGTTTATTGTTAAAATATAAATACGTGCCTATCCCTGTGGAGGCACTGCTTAAATAGAAGAAACAGCTTTTCATGTATCAAGAGCTAGAAACACACATTTTTTCCATCCAAATAAATTGAAAGCTGTGGGCGTAGTGTTTGCATATGTATTTTACCATGAAGTCTGGAATGTTTAAAATGATAAACATAAAAAGTTTGAGCTTCAGGAAAAAAGTAATCTAAAAAGTAACACCCCAAGTAATTTGACTTCTTAAATAAGGTCTCATTGTTATAAATGTTAATATACGTTGTCTTCTAGAAAAAAAATAGAATAGCATTCATAGGGATTAAGTCTAGTCTTTTTCAACTTGGTGTCTTCTGGTTATATGTGTAAATAGCAGATTGGGCCAGCTCATTCTAGTCCAGTGGTTCTCAGCCTGTGGGTCGGGACCCCATTTGGGGTCAAACGACCATTTCACGGGGGTCGCCAAACAAGGCTGTCTGCCATTTTTCCCCCTTTTTCTTTGGCCACGCCTCTGGCACCTGGTGATGTATAAGTGGTTGGGGGTCACCACAACATGGGGAACTGTATTATGGGGTCGCGACATTAGAAAGGTTGAGAACCACTGTTCTAGTCTATTATTACACTGAGATCTTCATTTTTTTATTTTAAAGTTTCACAAATACTATGGAATACTATCTGAGTAGCCCATTAAGAGATAATTCAAACATGACAAGCTCTTTATTTATAAAAATAGGAAATAATGAGGGGGGAATAACGAATTAAATTCATTTATTTTGATTGATCTTTTATTCTGTAATACTACACATTTTCCAGATGGTGCTACACACAGTAAGAACTTAGCTACCTATGTCACTTACCCCATTGTCACCCAAGATGTCTAACTGCTTTATAAGGTCTGGAATGCTAACATCCTGTAAAAGAGATGTTTAAATTCAGAAAAGAAGGACCAAAGATTTTCATAAGCAATATCTATTTTATGATACTTGATGGTTTACAAATGACTTAGTATTTTCTAAGTGAAGGAGCAGAAAAGATCCCAAAACATTGTGGAAAGGAGTGAAGAAGACTTTAATTTACAGTTATCTACATGGGGTAGTAGCAAAGGAAAAGAAATGAAGAAGTAACTATTTGTGTGACATGCGTAGGGTGTAGACAATCAAATATTGAGGAGGAAGAAAAACATCTAGACTGATTCTTAAACATTTCTTTGCAACTCTAAGACTTCTACAAAAACATCTAACTTATTCATATCATCTAATGTTCAGTCTACACTATATATTTGTTGATAATCAAATTTTTCTTTCTGAATGGTATCAAATGTTTTCCCGCAATTGAGAGTAGACAATGCTATCCTAACATAGAAAATTAATTAGAATTCTGGCATGGCTCTGTATTCTCCATTGGCACTTTTTCTTCAAGGAATATTACATACTTCTATCTTCTAAGAAAGACACCAACAGTCCAATCTTTTGTAGATTTACCTAGAAGGCCCTTTTGAATTGAACAATGCATAGATTACAATATCAGTAGGTGTAAGTTCTTAAGCTGCTTCAAATTCTTACACATATACAATGAATCAAGAATTGTCTGCAATGAATTTAGAGTCTTCAAAATTATAGACTATATTCTTTGTTAGCAAAAACATAACCTGCTCTTCAATGCACATTAAAAGGAGGATCATAACATGCCCACTATCTGTACTTTAAGAGTCTTCTTATGCATGGAACTTAAGTTTTAACTTGAGATTGAAAATTGTAGATTACATATACAAGCTTTCTATAAACATATTTTTTTAAGATAAGATAAAATAAGATAATCTTTATTGTCATTTTTTTACTGTGGGCACAACGGCACACATCAAAAATGAAATTTAGTTGCCCGCTCTCGAAGTGAAACACATATATGACACACACCTAAACATACTATGAACAACATATGTATATAGACTCACATCTCTACATATATGTAGCAAATAAATATTAAATACTGTCCATCTTGAATATATAATGGAAGGAGGAAGCTTGAGAGTTCACAAGGTTAATGCTGTATGGAATGAAACTATGGCTGAATCTGGATGTTCTGCTACGGATACCACGAAGCCTCCTTGGAGAAGGTAACAAGGAAAACAGGTCATGAAGAGGATGTGTAGTGTCCCAGATAATGGTACGGACCCTGCTCAAGCAACGCTTCTGTGCTATGTCCGGGATGGGAGGGAGGGAACTGCCAATGATCTTTTTGGCCATTTTCACCACTCTGCACTGCCTTCCTGTCTGAAGCAGTGATATTATCTTGAATGTTTGTAGGCGGAGAACAGATTTGATCCCTTCTTCCCTCTCCCTCCATATTTTGAAAACTATCAAGATATATGATGTCACACTAAAAATCATAATTATATTTAATGCCCTCATGTTAACATACCTTGACACCTTCTTTCATACAGTAGATTTGTAGAGCACTTACACCATCAGAGAATGGATGGATTTGTAGATTAAAAGGTGGAGATCTTCTTTCTCTTTCCTTCAAACAAAAGATAAAGGTGAAACATTAAATACTTTTTGTTTGTTTGACTTTTTCCTCTAAAAAGTATTTTGCTTTTGGAGCAGAACCTAGTCGATCCAGAAGGAGTATTCTTTTGGTTAAAATTTCTGCCATACTTAGGGTTTAGAACAAGTTGCTTACTTTATAGTTACACTTACTTCTGATGAGAATGGTGTTTTGAGATTGGCCATCCCTATTCTCACTGTAGCAGTTCTCAGAAACTTTCAGGTTTCTGAGCTTGACCAGGTTGTTTTAGGAATTTTTTTTTTCTCAGAACAAAACATCCTGTATCCCTATTTTTCTGAGGTTTTACTCTGAGCTTAGGGCAAACTAGGGGATTTCATTCCATGTTGCTTTAAGTGTTGGCATGCCCCCCTGGTTGGGTTGTTTTTCTTTAAACTTAGAATGGGAGATATGTTTGCCTATGCGTGACCAATCTTTTTCTCTTCCCATTGTCCCATAGCAGAATATTTGCAATAGTTTTGGTTCCAAAGTGGAGCTGTTTATTTTTCAACTTGGAAATTATTTCCCCCACGTTTTGCACATTTCTCTATATAACTATTTTCTGAATGGGCATGCATAATTTGTTAAATCTGTATCCTATCTGCACTCCCTGACTAAAAGAACTTAAGGTAGCCTAATAGCACTCCTTTTATTACTAAATAATCATCCAAATTAGTTTGGATTGAAAGACTATGACTGGCTCAAAATCACCTATGACTAGGGGTGAATTGAACTAGAGTGTTCCTAGCCTAATTCAATATCTTAAGCACTATACCACACTGGCTTACTCCATTAGATTTCATTGCAGCTGTTTTGAGACCCAAGTACCAATGAAACGGTCTACATTCCTCGAGCCAAAAAGATAAAGATTACGCAAGCCAATTTCAGTTTTCTGAATATGACCAATATATGAATGTGTGTGTGTGTGTGTGTGTGTGTGTGTGTGTATACATACACACACACATGCAAGAAACCCAGCTTTGAATCCCAGAAGGGTATGGCTGGCTGATGAGAGCTAATTAGCTTGAAATAGCTATATCAGTCTCCCTTTAACTCTTTGTTAGCAATCCAAAAATTTAGCGCACAATGATGTCGCAGTAGCGACTGCTACTTGTGGATAGCCCTAGATTGGGCTGATACAGGCAAAAGATTTCTTTTTCCCATATTTTGGCCAACAGGGTGCATCAAACAACACTCATACACACACACACACACACACACACACACACACACACATTCATAAACATTTAAGTTTGCTCCTTTAAAATGTTCTCTGATCCCCCAATGTAAAATTAGCAAGTTCTTACTTCAAGTTCTAGATTTCGAAATTCCAAGAGTTCATTCTGATCTCTGGCATCCTGTAGCTCCTGTTGTAGTCGATTGTTCTCTATTTCCAATTTTTCTATCTAGAAAAAGATCTAAATATATAAATTGCGGAAATGATTCCAAGACTTACTTGTTTAGACATATATGACCACTGCTGTTCTGGCTCCCTCCTACAAGTCATAATCACCGAGAAAGCAAGCTATTCAGTTATTGTAATTTTATTATCAGCTTTTCTTGTGGGAGGCATAAAGTCTACAAAAGTCATAATAATTCTCTTTAAGAATAGGAAGAATACCTCAAAAGCAACTTGGCAAATAACAAAAGGATTCATATTTGCTGATTTAGAACTTTGGGAAAATTCCTTCTGGTTAAGACAGTAAAGTTTCAAAATTATCAAGGATAATTTTGAAGATAATTTTTGATGATTCCGCACCATCATTTTAAAATTTTATATGGTTATACATATATTATAAAGATTAGCATTTGAGAAAAATAAGCAGTCTGAAGGACCCTTGTGCAAAAATATATTAAAAAAATACTACCTCAAGATACTTTTAATCATATGGTCTGATGGTGCAATAAAAAATTGAGTTATTATTTAGAATTTAATTATTTCTTCAAGTCTCAAATGTTGTAATTAATGGACTGTTGCCTAGAACAGACCTTCTAAAATAAATGGGAGAAGTTAGCCATGACTAACAGTTTTCAATAGCTTAATCTAAAGATGACTAAATCTAATCCAACCCAGTGTGTGTGCAAATCATCATTTAGTGAAATTACAAGGGAATTAGTGGATTCTTATTATGGAGTCAGAATGTTGAATTGATTCTGGGACAAAATAATATACAGAAATTTCAGTTTTAAACACCACTCTGAATCCACAGTATCATATCTGTCAGTACAAATTGCCAAGCATTATCCTTCTCAGTGCCTAGCAGAATTCTTGCCCCCCTTCCAAATTATTTCAATTAAAAGAAAAGGGAAGTTGGCATGTTGGAAACCAAAGCACTTGCCTTAAGCACAATAATTTCAACTTGTCTCTGGGTTCCAGTCTTAGAACTATTATTCAAAAATTGTGGGTCAGTGTAGCCCAGTGCTTTGTTTGGAAGTGGGCCACCTTCCAGAAAGAAGACAAAGTAAGCTAAAGAGCAGAAACGATTCCAGGAAATGTAGGAGGCAAACCTCTCTTTGTAGTCACTATATAGGAACCTTGATGGCACAGTGGTTAGAATGCAGTATTGCAGGCTAACTCTGCCCACAATCTGGAGTTTGATCCTGACCAGATCAAGGTTGCCTCAGCCTTCTAGCCTTCCAAGTTTGGTAAACTGTGGACCTAGATTGTTGGGAGCAATATGCTGACTCTTGTAAACCTCTTAGAGAGGGCTGTAAAGCCCTATGAAGTGGTATATAAGTCTAAGTGCTATTCCTAAATGCTATTTTGGGAGGATACCCACAAGGTGTTCTCAGAATTCCAAATGTGCCCACAAAAAGACTGGCAATTCCTTTTCCAATCATTCAAGTATAAACATACCTTATCCAAAAGCTCTTGATTCCTCTTAATAAAAAGTTGCTTATCTTCTACCCAATGTGAGTCCTATTTTTTTTAAAAGAATAAGATATAAAGAAATGTTTATATATGGCTTTGTTAATTGGCTTTGTTAAATTAAATAGATTTAAATTACCCATGAATAAAATTAGATCCACTAAATGACTGATGTATGGTTCCAGTCCATTGAATCATGTCGACAATCATGATTCAGTCACAACTTCAGTCACAATGAAAAGAAAAGGCTAAAATAATTCAATAAGTTTGCTAAATTAATGGAAACAATTGTTATTGGCTATTATTGGAAGCATCAAAGTAGCTGCAATTCATACAAGGACATGAACAGTATATGGTCACACAGCAAGATACTTTTATATATTTATTTCCCGTTGTTTGCAAGCACCCTTTCAAATGCTTGATTCATATGTGCAAAATGTATCTTTCCTAGATGACAAACTAATTCTAATAATTTGCAAAGTATGAGGGTGAAGGTTCATTTTTTGAGCATTTCATTCGTAGGATAGGTCACATCTTCAGCGGAGTTTGGGGGATGTCAGTGTTCAGTGTTCTTCTGTTTGTAAGGATGTTGTGTGGTCAGTAGGTCTTAGTTGAATAGAATAGAGCTGGAAGGGATCTTAGTCCAGCCCCCTGCTCAAGCAGGAGAACCTATACCATTTCGGACAAGTGACTGTCTAGTCTCTTCTTAAAAATATCCAGGGATGGAGCGCCCATGAGGTCTTGTGATGGTGTGATGGTGAGGTCATGTCAGGTGAGGGTCTCATCAGGTCAGGATGTTGTAATAGGTCAGGTGTGAGTGTGTCAAGTGAGGGTCTTGTGGTGGGTCTTGTGATGGGTCAGGTGTGAGTCACTTGGAAAGTAATTGAGAAAAAAAGCATATTATGTGTTTTATGTCTACCTGTCCTTTCTGGGCCAATATTTTTTCAAGATCTTCTATTTTTGCTCTATATCTCTGAACTTCAGCTTGGAGTTGCTCCTGTGCCTGTTAAAAAGAAAAGATGCAGCTTCATTAACAATGTTTTTAGATTTCATCAAACTTCCTGAATTTCAAATTATCTTTCAAATATTTGTAGCCACTCTTTTTCTTTAGCAAGCAGCCATATTGCTTCTTTGTGCTAACAAAACAGTCCTTTTGTAGCTCTCCCAATAATATGAGTTTCAGACCTTGTTCCACTTTACTCTATGTTTTTAAATAACATTTTTTTTCTGTGACAGATACAAAGTTCTTAGCATGTCTTAGTCTTGATTACTTCAAAATGATTGGTCTATGTTATTGTTATCTGATTGCATGGAAATTTTTGTAATTTTGTTGTATGTTGCATGAATGAATTAGAAATATATATATATATATATATATATATATATATATATATATATATATATATATATATATATATATATATATATATGAATAGACAGATACATACACATGTTTAGGGAATGTATTTGGATAACAGCTCTGTTGACCTTGGCAAATACCAACCTTAGCTTCTCTTTCTGCGTCTATTATTCCCCCAGTTTGCTCTTGCAGTAATGCATAGGCTCTCTGCAGGGCCTGATATTCCTTTGTTAATTGTCTAAATCGCAACTCCGATTCTTCAGCTGCTAAGCTCTGAAAAAGAGAAAGTTTCAGATAAGTATTAAGTGTAGTAAAGGTAAAGGCAAAGATTTCCCCTGTCCAGTCATGTCCGACTCTAGGGGGCAGCACTCATCTCAGTTTCTTAGCTGAGCGAGCCAGTGTTGTCTGGAGACACTTCCGTGATTATGTGACTGGCTCATGGAATGCTGTTACTTTCTCCCTGAAGTGATATTTATTCATCTACTTGCATTTGCATGCTTTTGAATTGCTAGATTGGAAGGAAGCTGGGGCAAGTAACAGGAGATCACCCCATTGTGCAGCACTCAGGTCTTGAACCCAGAGTCTCAGCTTTACCAGCTGACAAGCTCAGCATCTGTAACTGCTAAGATTGTAAAAATATGGAACATGTAAGAATGAATTGTATCACAATAAGATTGGAATGTATTATGTGAAAAAAAACAAAATATTGTATTCTGGAATACACCGGTTATGAAAATATTTACAGAGAGCTTCCAGTGAGGATCCATCACGAACTAGAAGGAGCAGAGAGGGCCCTGCAGAAAAGATCAGCAGCTAGATATGAATTCTGGCCAATGCAGTTTAACCCGAAAAGGAGAGATCATGAGTTCTCCCACTTGCACACAGAATAACTACTCCTCATGAGTAAACTGCTGGAACTAAGGTTTTTGTGATCAGCTTATGAATTGAGTGGCTGGGAGTTGTGGGATTTCAGTTAAGCTCAGAGCCCTAAGGCAGCCTATATGGACATAAGGTTCCCACAAGCCTAATTTCTTAAACACTTTCAGATGTAATTAATTTGCGGCTAAAGAGAGATTTTCTGAGTGGCAGGATAAAAAATAACCCACAGTGAGTCATTCTTTCTGAATTACGAAGGAAAAAAAAGCTTTAAAGATTTAAAAACTAATGGCAAAAAACTTAGGAAGGAATGAGTATAAGTTTATATCTAAAGGATAATTATTTTGAAATGTTGTTTTAGTAAAATGCTTTTGAATTAATTGAAATTAAATTGACAAACAAACTAGACCTCTGTGGAAATGTTTTTTGAGTACTAGTAAATAGTGCTGACGGTTGATGGATTTTATAAAACAAAGGAAAAGTAGTATGAGCCAGAATGGGATGCTGACTATAACTCTGGAGTACCCCTTGAGATGAAAGTATTAAAGGCACAGAAAGAAAAAAACAAAAGGGGGGATCTTGTCTTTTCTCTTTCCCTTATTTGAGACACTTTCATGTTTGGATTATAATTCATAATGGTAACCACCATAAAAGTGGCAAAAATGGAGAAGAGGATTACTAGAGCAGCGGTCCCCAACCTTTGTGGCTTGGTGGCTTGAGAGGTGGACTGGGCCACTAGAACAACCTGCAGAGAGTGGGATTACACAAGATCTGCTTCATAAAATGTTTGAGTAAGTTAGCTGAATCACCTGATACTAAACTAACAGCTTTAGAAAAAAGAATGGATGAAAGATTTATAAAGATGGAAGAGGGGATGAAAGAAGAAGTTGAGAAGATGGAAGTTCTGTAAAACAAATGCCTGGAGATATAAAACAAATCAATGACAAAGTGGAGATTTTGACGAATAAGACTGTTAAAACAGAGAGTTAGAAAGAGAACTAGATAATCTGTGCAACTGAGAGAGTGAAGGAATTTTGTTTGAGATTTGGAGCAATCTAGAATGATCCTAGTGAAGATATTAGAGATATTAAAGATACTAAAACTTTGGCAATATTTTTTGGCTAGGTTTGAGGATGATAAAGAGGAAAACTTTGACAAAATATATGGAATAAGTACAACATTGGAGACAATAAGAAACGTTCCAAGGTATGTTTTGATGCATTTTGCTAGGGAGAAGACAAGGGATCAAGTTTTATAGCGTATGCAGTTGTGTATAAAGAAAGTCCTATTAGAATTTTGCTCAAGAGAAAAGGTATTTTTTGACTGAGAGATTAAAGCAGAATAAATTCCACTTCGATGGAACAAATATCCAGTTGTCCATTTTGATGCGACAAATTGGAAGACATTGGAATTTCTACTTTAAATGTAATTTCTACTTTTTGGATTAAATTCTGTCTAGAAATTGAGGGAATCTTGAGAAAAAAGTTAAAGAGGAATATGGAGGAGGTTCAAATGGAAATTTTGGAGGATGCTACATAAAAAAAAATACAACAGGTAACAATGGGAAATTGAAAGGGATGATATACATTTGCTAATTATTCAAAATTTATAAAAATACAGAAGAAAATCTTACTTCATCTAGATCTTCATCTGGTGTTGCTGGTGTTCTGTCTGTCCTGAATGAAGCCATGGATGATGTTTCAGAGTCCATGGAGTCATCATCACCCCCATAAACGGTATCCAGAACGTGCCTCTGCAAAAGAAGCCAACCATTCTAACTCTGCCACCTGTCCGGCTTCCTAGCCTAGCACAGGCAAAATTCCATCATGTGTACTCGGTCAGGTAGTTGTCGGAGATGCTTCATCTGGGTGACAACCAGATGGCAGCAAAGAAATACAGGAACCTGTCATTCTTTGCGGTTGTGTAGTAGTTATCTGGATTTTTGAAACCCTACTTTCTTATGAAAACCCAGAATTTGAAGGCAGCAAACTAGCCAAATGGCTCTGCTGCTGACTGCAGAAAAGAAACAGATCTATCACTCTTGGACAGTTTGTCCTTCTCCACATTTCCAATTATGGTGGTCACAATGCAGAAATGACTTCAAAGGCGCTGCATAAAAGGCCTTTACAGAGTACAATAGGATAGACTTTGTTCTGGGCAGGTTGCAGTCTAACAATTGACCTAAGGAACCCGAAGGAAACTGAGATGCCAATAAACAAGGAAGCATTTTTTTTCCAAGACCATTTGCTTCCTCATTAAGCTTGCATGTTTGGTTATACACAGTGGTGGGATTCAGCTGGTTCGCACCAGTTCAGCGGAACCGGTAGCTAATTTTTTGTTGGCCAGGCCCAGAACAGACTTCCGGAAGCAGCAACCACACTTGTCCACATATTTTGAATCCCACCACTGGTTATGCACCATCAGTTATAAATTTTACAAGCAATGCTGTGAAAATAGCTGTTATCTTTTGGAGTCCACTATTACAATTCAATGATTTAAAAATAGCTTTAGTGTATTCAGACTAAGTTAATTAGCGACATCAAAGAAGAAAATGAGTCATGCAGGAAGCTGACAGAATTGGTTAATCAGCAAGTTGGATAGCAAAGTACTAATGGTTTCAGCACTTAAAACTTGCCAAAGTGAATCATGAAAAAGCCTGATGAATGAGAATTTAAACCACACTTATACTACTATGTTTTTGTTCCCATATAAAAGATAAAACATCACAGAAGTGGAAAACATATGGTAGGACTATGGTCTACAATCAGTTTTGCAGCTTGCAGAACTTCAAAAGTTAGCAAGATATTTGCTGTGCTTGGCAATGAGTTGCATACATGATAGTCTTTTTTTTTGTTTTTCTGCCCCCATCACTAATAAGCACAGCTGGATTTACTGTCACTTGAGCAAATGTTGTTTTGTCTTTGATATACGGTTCCCATGAGGCGTAATTCTCTTCCTTCTGAATTTATTGAGATATGGGCGTAGAATAGAGTAATTTCATGAACTGAAAATGAAATGTAATTTAATATATTAGTGGGATTCAAAATAATCTGTAAACTTCATTTACCTTAATTGGCTTTGAACTTCTTTTATGCTTCCTCCGTCGAATAAGTTTCTCTCTATCCTAGATAAAAACAACAACAACAAGCAACTGTTACAGCTCAGGGCACAAAGATAACAGAATAACAGAATTGGAAGGGATCTTGGAAGTCTTCTAGCCCAACACCCTACTCCAGCAGGAAACCCTATACCATTTCAGAAAAATTGTTGTCCAATCTCTTCTTAAAAACTTCCAGTATTGGAGCATCCACAACTTCTGGAGGCAAGTTGTTCCACTGGTTAATTGTTCTAACTGTCAGGAAATTTCTCCTTAGTTCTAGGTTGATTCTCTCCTTGATAATTTTCCATCCATTGCTTCTTGCCCTGCCTTTAGGTGCTTTTGAGAATAGGCTGACCCTCTCTTCTTTGTGGCAGCCCCTTAGCTTTGGAACACTACTATCATATCACCCTTAGTTCTTCTTTTTGTTAAACAGACATACCCAGTTCCTGCAACCGTTCTTCATATGTTTATCCTCCAGTTCCCTCATCTTTGTTGTTCTTCTTTGCACTTTTTCCTGGAGTCTTAATATCTTTTTTATATTGTGGTGACCAAAACTGGATGCATTATTCCAAGTGTGGTCTTACCAAGGCATTATAAAGAGGCATTAATACTTCATGTGATTGTGAAGATATTCAATGGACATATGAGAGTGAACCATTCACTGATTTGACTAATTGATTGATTCATTTATTCATTCCAAGTCCCAGTTCCATGAGAATTTTTGGAACTGAATAGCACACAAATAGAGGCAAATTAGATGAGGAAGAGTTGTAATAATTCCACTAACCCACCCTTTCTATTAGCTATAATATGGCAATAAGCAACATGAAGTTATTCAAAGGCCTTTAAAAAAAAGCTTTTGAGAGGTGATCTGAAAAAATAAGAGCTGTAGCTGCAGGGAATTTCTTTGGAAATCTTACTTACAGAATAAGTATGGAATAATTCTAGACAAGAATGAGTCAACTTCAGTTTCCTAGGATCTATTCTATATTTTTCCAGAGACCACAAATCCATCAAATGAAAGAATAATGATTTACACAGCTTCAGTTAATAATTTCTGAATATATCACAGCACAAGTATTTGTTTTAATAACTGATCAAAACTCATTGTTCTTTCATCCACAAACACACCCCTGCTTTTCTCTGAGCCATTCTTCATTTCAGTTAATAAAAAGTGACTTTTTCATTGAATGTCACTATAAATGTTGGAAGCAGGAACTTTTGCCAACTTAGTGCAAATCCACTCAGAGATTAATTTGTAATCTTCATACAGTGTCTGCCTATTTCCAATTTCTGTTCACCCCTTAGGTTTATGGATGATATCATTAGATGAATGGGGATCAATGAAAGACAACAGAAAAATGGAAGGCAGACAAGATAAAGATAATTTTAAAGATAAGGATTACAATGTTATCTATTTGAAAATGGATGGGAAGTCAGAAAAGAATTTTACAAAGGACCCTCCCTCCCTTACTTCAAGTATAGAACATGAAATAATGGGTTTAAATTACAAAAGGATATTTGTTCAAGTTCTTGTTTTTAAACAATATTGCTAGTAAAAGCAGTTTGACATGAATGAGTTATTTAGAATGAGGATGAGGTCCCTTTCATTCAATAGGTTCACGTGGAATCTAGATAAATATCACTAATTATGCTTTAATCTGAATTTCTTCAGTAGGCATGGAGTGGTCTATACAATTACCTTGTAACTGTAGGAAACATTGATTGCATTTCTGAATAAAGTCTGTGTTACTGCCATCTTCTATATTATTTCCTGAGAATGCCTTGAGGCATATGTGGGGCCCTCTATTTCCATTCTTGGAAATAGAGGTGATGCTAACTTCTTGACTTTGGTTTGCAGTTTACCAGATTTCAATTTATTTTATTCATCTAATCTTGCAAGCTCAGTCATGTCTATTATGGACTCTATTTCACATTAATTGCACTTTGTAGAATCCAGCACATCTACAGAGCAGCTAGTTTAGAAAATGCTATATTAAAGTATATTATTCATAATAAAAATTCTTTTAAATTATATATTCTTACAAGATCTGTTTCTTGATTCTTAGTTTATTATGGACCATAACTTACTCTTGTCAGCTCATCAATTATGTTTTGTTGTTCTATAACCTGAAGCTTCAAAAATTCAGTTTCTTGTTCTTCATTTGCTTGATCAAGGTCATTGAGCGATTTTAATTTCTTTAGAGGAGGATGTGATACCATTTTTTCTTTCTGTGTAACAAAAAATAAAACCGGAAAGCCATTTTACTTTTCAGATTTTTTAAAAAATTTACTTGATTGGATCATCATATTGTATTATTTCCACATTTTATTTTCCACCTGTCTTAAACATTGAATTATAGACGTTAGAGCTGATTATTTTCCCCATGGCATGTTTTTAAATTACTGCTGTCTTGAGAGAAGGGAAGATACACTTCTCTTTGTGGAAAATCATTCAGCGGAAAATTCAATTATGGATGTTGGATATTTATAACTAATAAACAAAACTGAACTCAATGAGACTTCTAAATACAAATGCTTGGGGTATAGAGGACTGTCTCTCTAGAAAAATCATCCAAGCCATTGTTTATTGCATCTGTTTGATTCCTATATACAAAGTGTAACAAATGTCTTTCAAAACATGAAAAAACAGGAATGGAAAAAAGAACAACATATTGTGATCTGGGGATAGACACTTAAATTCCTAGAAAATTCAGTGGTTCCAAGAAAATAGCTTTTTTAATGTTAACCCTGGAAAATTAAAGGAATGATGAAAATGAATCACAGAACAATTATTATTTTGGAAATAGAAGTTCAATTTTGAATTGAGCATCAATGCAGTTCTTTCTAACTCATGTTCATTTTGCTAAACTGAAGGGGGCACCAACAATCCCAGTATTAAAAATATATTTTGTGTCCTCTAAACCCCCAATCTGAATCTCCAAATCTGATTCAAGTTGTTGCCATAATTTTTCTGTCATTTTGAGGAAATAGGCTCCAGTTAAAAATAAAGAAAAATATGTCTTTTTTAAACAAAACAAAGCAAAACAAAACACCAACCCAAGGAAAAATTATTTCACTCTAAATTTATTGGGCATGATACATTCTGTTTTTTAATTTGTCACAATTTTTTTGAGCATAAAAAGTCAGGATAACATTGACTAGATGTTAGTTATTAATACTTTAGTCCTTTCAGCTCTTCATACTCTATTATGAGACCAGAAAAGTCTATTGTCAAAATAGGATTAGATAATGGCATTTTCTTTAATAGTTATATTCCAAGAACTGAAAACAAACTAATGAATAAAAAACAGAATAAATTTGAACTCTTGGTACAAACCATCTCTAAATTTTCCTTAGTGATTGCTTTAAGTTTTTCCTCCATGCGCTGCAACGATTGCATGAGTTCATCATTTCTTTTAGAGAGGCACTTATTCCTTTCCAGAAGAGGTTTGCATTGTTTTTCGGCTTCTCGAACACGTTTCAACTGCAAACAAAATGCTAATTAATTAACTAGGTTCTACATCTATGGTACGTACACCCACTGACACATATACAGGCAGTCCTCAACTTACAACCACAATGGAGCCCAAAATTCATGTTGCTGAGTGAGAAATTTGTTAAGTGAATTTTACCCCATTTTAAAACTTTTCTCGCTTCACTTGTTAAGTGAATCACTTTAGTTGTTAAATTAGTAACACGGTTGTTAAGTGAACCTGGTTTTCCCATTGACTTTGCTTGTCAAAAGGTTGCAAAAGGTGATCACATGACCTTGGGACACTGCAACCGTCATAAATGTGAGTCAGCTGTCAAGCATATATATATCTTTGATAACTCTAAATACTGGAATCCCAGGTGTAGACATTTAAAATCAGTAAAAATAATAATGAACTCTGGGATGTACATGTATGTATGTATATGTATATTGTGGAATGGAGATGTTTAAAACATTGTTTCTTGAACAAGCTATAATGTTGATTCATATATCATGCTAATTCCAAAACAAACTACAGCATGGCTTAGAATATTGTATGAATCAGATCTATAGGACACAGTTTTTAGGGAAGGAATTTCAAGCATTGATGGTTTTTAAAGATGTCATCTGCATATCTGAAAATAATAATAATAATAATAATAATAATAATAATAATAATAATAATAATAATAATAATAATATATAGCCAAGATATTGTAATGGAGTTTGGCTTGGACAAATGTGCCACACTTACTATCAAACAAGGAAAAATAATGAAAACTGAAGGAATCAAGATGCCCCACTAAAATAACATTAAGAGTCTGGATGAGGAAGAGTACTACAAATACTTGGGTATCCTTCAAGCTGACAACATCAAGCACACTGAAGTCAAGAAAAGATTAGAGGTGAATACATCAAGAGAGTGAAGAAGATCTTAAAATCCAAACTCAATGGAGGAAATACCATAAAGGCAATCAACACCTGGGGCCTCCAGTATTAGTATACACAGCATGGAATAGTGAACTGGACTCAGCAGAGACTAAAAGAAATGGATAGGAAGACCAGAAAAATAATGACAATGAATCATGCCCTTCATCCACGCAGTGACATTGACAGACTTTATCTACCAAGGCAATAGGTGGGCGTGGAATGCTACAAGTACATCAGATGGTTGAAGAAGAAAAAATGGCTTTGGAAGAATATCTGAAGAACAATGATGAAGATGCACTGACATTAGTATATCAGGAAGTCTTACTGACTACTGGAGAGACCAAACTGGCCTACAAGAAAGACCAAATGAAGAACAGAATAGAGGCATGGGAAGACAAAGCACTACATGGCCAATACATGAAAAAAATAGCTGGGAAAGCAAATAATAATAAAACCTGGCAATGGTAAGAGCAGGAAAATTGAAGAAAGAGACCGAGGGACTAATTCTGGCTGCACAAGACCAAGTCTTAAGGACAAATGCATACAAAGTCAAAATTGAGAAGACAGCAACAGACAGTAAGTGCCGCCTATGCACAGAAGCTGAAGAAACAGTGGACCACTTGGTAAGCTGTTGCAAGAAGATTGCACAGACTGATTACAAGCAGCGGCATGACAAAGTAGCAACAATGGTGCATTGGAAGATCTGCAAAAAATATCATTTGCCTGTAAGCAAAAACTGGTGGGATCATAAAATAGAGAAAGTCATAGAAAATGATAAATTAAACTGCTCTGGGACTTCAGAATTCAAACAGACAAGCACCTGCAACATAACACCCCAGACTAAACAATTGTCGATAAGAAAGACAAAAAAGTCTGGATAGTGGATGTGGCAGTGCCTGGAGATAGCAGAATAGAAGAGAAAGAACTGGAGAAGATAACAAAATACAAAGACCTACAAATAGAAATAGAAAGACTGTGGCAAAAGCAAGCAAGGGTCAGTACCAATAGTTCATAGGCTCCTTGGCGCATCCCAAAAACAAAATGGAGACACCACTTGAAACACCATTGCATTGACAATTTGCTATTAGTCAATTGCAAAGGCGCCTTATTAGGAACGCTTCCATCCTGCGACGCTACTGTAATACCATCAAACCATCCACTATGACTATCCCAGGTCCTGGGTTAAGGACTCGATAGGTAGACAAATGGCCAAATCCAGTCGAACATCTGGCTGACTGATGCGATGATTGAGAATAAAATAATATAAGAACTCTGGATAGTGGACTTGGCAGTGCCTGGAGATAGCAGAATAGAAGAGAAAGAACTGGAGAAGATAAAAAAATACAAAGACCTACAAATAGAAATAGAAAGACTGTGGCAAAAGCAAGCAAGGGTAGTACCAATAGTCATAGGATCCTTGGGTGCAATCCCAAAACAACTGGAGCACCACTTGAACACCATCATCGGCATTGACAAATTTGCTATTAGTCAATTGCAAAAGGCGGCCTTATTAGGAACTGCTTCCATCCTGCGACGATATCTGTAATACCATCAAACATCCACATCTGCCTATCCCAGGTCCTGGGTAAGGACTCGATAGGTAGACAAAATGCCAAATCCAGTCTGAACATCTGGCTGACTGTGCTATGATCAATAATAATAATAATAATGTCATTCAAATCTACAAAACATGTTTGTTCAGAGTTAAAAATACAATATGTAAGAATACAATCCCACTACTGTTCATAACGTTGAATGAGAGACCATATCATGCCTTTTTTCTGATCATTCTTCTAAGAAGAGAAAGAATGGTTGCTATTCAATTGCTGTGGTTGTGTTTTGGTACTAAAATATGTATAATACACAGTGCTGAAAAATTTATCACGTGAAACCAAGAAGAGGGGCTATCAGTCAGGGACTGATTTTACACGTTGAACTAACTATTATTTATTAAATAAATCAGAATTGCCTGGGTTCACACAATATGCAGTGCTACAAAGCATGAACTATGGAAGGTAGTGGTCAGATCTATAAAATGATGAACTTATAGTGGTTAACCCAGGTTCATGTCTGCCTATGGCCATGGAAATTTACTGCGTAAATTCAGACAAATTATTCTCAGTCTAACTCAATTCAGATAGTTAACATCAGTTGTCCTTCTCCTAGCGGGAGAGCTTCCACTGAGATGATCCCACAGGAGACCATGAGCTTTAGTCTCAACTTAGGAACAAAACCAGCTGGGTGACCTTGAACTAGCCACTTTCCTCAGCCCAAACCACTTCTGAAAAACCTTGCCAAGAAAATTGCAGAGACTTATCCGGAGAATGAGACATAATTGAACAGAAGAAAAACAAGTATGAACAAAGCCGAATCGCTTCTGCAGTACTATTTATAATTTATGATTTCATTCATTGCTATCCCAGATATTTTAGATTAAATAAAATGTTCAGAAACTGCTAAGTGGCCGTACCAATTCATTACGTTCATCCACAAGCAGAGTGTTCCTGTCCTCCAGTTTCCGAATAGTAGCATTGAGTTCTGCCATTCTCTTCTGATTTCTACGTAGATCCTACAAATGTTTGTCAAAGAAAAATAATTCGACACACGTGTTATTTATAAGCAAGTGTTGAGATCCTTGGCAGAAAGTATGAATTGCAATGAAGATGAAACTGCAGGATCCAATCTGTGTCAGTCACCAGGTCCAGAGGTTTAATCTTCTAAGCTTTTGGACTCGTGGTGGAGCTCATCGTTGAGGAAGTTCCCTCTCATCACAATGAGAGGCTTGGAAGATTAAGCCTCTGGTCATGGAGACTGACCCAGACTGGATCCTGCAACATTATCTTGGGACATGTATATTTACCTTCATTCATGAAGATGGAATTACCGTAAATGCCGGCGTATAAGACAACTTCCGCGAGCGCTGAAATCGGCGCCAAAGACGGGGGTCGTCTTATACGCCGGAAATACTGGTAGTTTCCGGCGTATAAGACGATGTTCTAGGAATGTGGCCCAGCTATAAAGACGGGGGTCGTCTTATATGCCGGGTCGCCTTGTACGCCGGCATTTACGGTATATTGTTCACGCATAGCCAATAGTAATAAATATTGTGGGATTCTTGATGCTCTCTAAGTTTGGTTGTTTTCTTGCAGACATTTCATTACCATACTAGGAAACACCATCAGCTTAAGAAAACAACCAAGCTCAGAGAGTACCAAGGATCCCACAGTTCAACCCTGAGATACAAATATTCTCTTCCATCAGTAACAAATACTGACAAATACAATTCAGCAGTGTCTAGAGAACCACATATTGTGCATCCTTGCTAAACATATAACATTTTATTTTATGTAAACAAGAATGCAAGTGTATGTTTCTAAATCAATAAGTGGCTTTAGGCAAGCTTCTGTGTCACACTCTCAGTGGATAATTTGATCTTCAACAAGGGAACACTAACAGCAGGCTTTTATAAGCTCTTTAATAAGTTTTGTTGAGTTAATGAATATAGAATGTTTGGAGTGTTTTAAAGGCTCTGCATAAATGCCAATCATTTATCTATTCTTCTTCTTCTCCATCATCATTATCATCATCTCTTGTTTTTTAATTAACTACACGGAACTGAAATTAACTACAGAACTGAAATTCAGCCTTCAAATGACCACAAGAGGGAGTATTGTATAGTTCATGAGTAGATACCACTCCTAGAAAGCAGGGCAATGATGCAATAAGTGGGCTAAGTGGATCCAATCAAAATCTCAGAGTGATGAAATAGAACATGCTTCTTACAGGACTGCTGCAGTGTTCCGAGCCATCTCCTGCTCTGCCTGGGATCTCTCTTTTGGGACTGCTCATGTTGCATTCAGCCTCCTTAACCAAAAACAGTTGCTCATCCAATGCTTCTTTCTGTAGCTGAAGCTTCTGAACATATCCTGTCAGGGTCTCCAGCTCTTTCTCCAAAGAAAAGATAGTTCTGTCTTTTGCTTTGATCTCATCCATCTGAATGAAGATACATGAGAACGATGATATGGTATAAGTACAATAATGAATCCATGTATCTGAGTACATTTTCCAAGTAATGGAATTTCAGAGTTCATTTGTTACAGCATTTGTTATAGCAATTGCTTCTCTAAAACTACGACAGCATAAAATAGTTCTGTGCATATAAGAATATACCTATTTAAGTTTAAATACGATTTTTTACATAGTTACGTATTTTGTCAGTACCATTTACTTGTTTCAATGTAATATTCCATGGTTCAAATAATGGCACTGAAGAACACAAATAAACAAGCATATCTGCACTTTGATATTTCTTAATGATTTTTTAAAATTGTCTTTACATTAGAAACCAGTGGCAAGTATAAGCCTGGAACTTCTACAGGTAGCTTGGTGCAAAAACCACCCAATTCACCAACTGCATTCTATCTCAGGTTTGAGAACCAGCCTGATCAGTTCACAATCATTCTGCAAATATTCTGGTTTGATCCTGAATCTTGAGTGAAATATGAGAAACAAACCCCTGTTCCACTATAGATAAACCCTAATGAAAGTCTTATCTATGGGTTGTCATTCAACTATCAAGAAAAATGAGGGCAGACCTCAGGGCAGTTCTAGCTTTGATATCCTCAGCTCTATGAAACCGGTTTGTTTTTCGTTTTTGGTAAAACCAAAACCATTAGTAACTATGTGACATAAGTACACAGTGGTGGCTAGCAGAAGCCAAATTATTCTAATTAAGAATGCAGTCATACAGTATATTATGGAAATCACGGTGATATTTATCAAGAATGAGAGCTTTGTGTTGAATTTTTCATAAATTATAACACAGAAAGCAGAGTTTGGAAAATACAGAAGGAATAAAACTTGAAACTGCCATTAAGCAAATAGACTAATCTTGCTCTGCTTCATTGAATGGAAGATATTCTGATTCACCAATAATAATACAGTATATAAATCTTGTGAATCTCTCAAACTTTTCAAAAGATCCAATAATCAGTAATCATTTTTATTATTTCCTGCTAATGATGCAGGCACATTCAATTCAGAGTATCACCATCTTTAAATTAGGTATCAGATACTGTATAATTAGCTACCACAAACAGCAGAAGCATCCCAAGATCACTATATCTCTGTCACTTCCATGGCAGTTTCTGCCTCAAGTTGCCAATTTTCATTCCCTCATGTACATCCTATTTGCTAATGAGACCAACAAAAGGATTTATTCTGTAGACAATACATGCACCATAGATGCTGCTATAGGAAGGTGCACAGAGTGATGCATTCTGAATTCCTTACATTAACCTTTGCTCTAAGCATCTCTTCAGGGTGATGCCTACAAGGTGACTGGCCAGGCTAACCATCTGCCTTGACATTTCCTAGCCTTAAAGCTGTTTGTGGGCTACTGGGAGAATGGATTTGGGCCATCCCGGGCTACTGATCATTTCAGTGGCTTCATCTTGCCTAATGAGAGGGCCAGCTTTGACAGTCAGAGAAACTGCATGATGATTCAAAGATCCATTGATTTATCCCCATTTGGCAGAACATTCTGGAGAAGAAAATTATTTTCATTTGACAAGAAGAAAAAACAAACACCAGATTGAATAAAAAGCTGCAGCAGTTTCTACACAGAATTTTGCACTTGAAATCTTAACAGCTGCTTTACTAAAATGAAGCAACATATTTGAATCGACTAAAATGAAGCAACATATTTGATTTATAATATTTTTAATTAGGTAAAATGTGCTTTGACCCAACAAGCATGAAAAAAGTATACGGCATGAAAGAGTATACAGGTTTCTATTCTTGGGTAATTTTAACTCAGATGCAGTGCGGTGGAACACAGGCACCTGTATCTACCCAAGATGTTACTGATGATGAACACAATATGATGGAATGCATATTGTGATGGTATGATCCAAGTTCCACCCTTTTGTTGTATAATTGTTATGATATTGCAACGCACATTTCATCATTTGCACATCTTTCTCAATGTAAACTTATGTCTAAGTGGGATGAATCCAGATCTACATCCCTGCTCTCAGTCATAGACGTTGGGGCTGACTTTGGCATTTCTTCCTGATGTTTCAATAAAAATGTTACAGATTGCTTTAATATTTGAAAAAAACAGTCACTACAGTTCTACTGTATATGGATTATTCTGAACAAGAAGGGCTTTGGTTGTAGCCAAATTCTTCTTGTCTTGCAAGTCTAAGCATGAAGTATAAATTGAAATAAAATATTAAATAAAGAAGAAAAGAAGAAAATCCTTTAAATTAGTAACAAAAATCCAAGTAGATAATTTATTTAAATCTAACTTCCCATCTTCTAGTACTCCATGTTTTTTTTATGGAGGCAGCAATTATTCCCACTTGTTGGCTTTTGAGTGCCTTTTGTTTGTTTTTACTGGAAACAATATATTCATTGTGTTATACCAGCTAATCAGGGATCACATGGTGAACATACCATCCTTCCTTGCAGGAACTGCAAACAATAAAAATACTGTCATGCCCACAATAGTAAAATACAGTGCTCAAATTTGAAAAGACATATCAAATTCAAATCAACCAAATTAAAATCCCTAATAAATATGCCAATTTTTATCTGACACAGAGTTTAAATTAGCAAATTTCCAATTGTCCACAATTAAATAATCACAACAGAGTTACCACTTTTTTTCTTGATTGGTGTATAATATCTCAGCAATACTTCTGGCTGATAGAGATATTCTTTTAGATGCTTCAATCCAGTGGTGGGATTCAGCCAGTTCGCACCAGTTTGGCAGAACCAGTAGCTAATTCTTTGTTGCCCAGGCCCAGAATGGACTTTCGGAAGTGGCATCCATACAGAGAACCGGTTGTCCACATATTTGAATCCCACCACTGCTTCAGTCCCATTTTGTTTGTTTATTTATTTGGGCTTTAAAGATCATCCATTATATGATGGATAGGAATTATTTGGGCTTTAAAGATCATCCATTATATGATGGATAGGAATTAAGTACTAGATTAGCTCCTATTGAAATGGGCTGATATCAGTGGTGGGATTCAGTCAGTTCGCACCACTTTGGCAGAACCGGTAGCTAATTTTTGTTGCCCAGGCCCAGAATGGACTTCTGGAAGCGGCATCCACACAGAGAACCGTTTGTTCACATACTTGAATCCCACCACTGGCCGATATATTATCTAGCTGCTACATTTTAGATTAGCTGAAAATTTTGATACAACTTTAAGAGTATTCTTAATCCAAAATATGTATATAATCTAAGTGTGACACAGTTTAGCTGAACTGTAAGCATTTCTGTTCTAAAGTCATCCAGCATAATTCCTGAAATTCCAATTATCCAGCTTGTTGGGGATTAGACATACACTGCCAATTTTAAACTTAATTTCAGTAGTTAGCATTGTACTTTTGCTATAATCCATCTTAGTCCAAGCAGAATGTGGAAAGGTTACACGTGCAAATAGAGATCCCATTATATACTTAAAGGTATATCTTGCTGAAAATATCTTTCTATTCTTCACTTCATTCAAAGAACTTCCTGCTGAATTGCACTGGAGCATCCCACATTCTGCCCCAACTAATCAATTAAGCTTACTTGGGTCAACAGAAGAGAGCACTGGCCTATTTGTCTTAACAAACAGGGCACATTTCCTGTCTTCTACCCCAAAAGCTGTCCTTCTGTGCCCAGTTTTGCGTTCTTTTATGATGTGTACAAGCAATAATTAAAAAGGAATGACCTCCCATCTAAACTACTGCAACATGCTCTATGTGGGGCTGCCCTTGAACAGCCTTTGGAAGCTTCAACTAGTGCGGAATGCAGCGGCACAGGGATGAAGCTAGTTACCCGGTGTATGTGATGCCACTACTTCTATTGGCTTTTAGTGTATTTCCAGGTGCAGTTCAAGGTGCTGATAGTCACTTTAAAAACTTTTCAAGGCATATTATACCCATATATCATATCTGGTCCAGCAAAATGGACATCCTCTGGGTCCCATCAGGTAAAAACCGTCAGCTGAATGGAGCCTAGAAGATGGGCCTTTTCTGCCCTATGGAACATTTTTCCTCTGGAGATTAGGTTGTCCCTGATACTGCTGATCTTTTGTAAGACCCTAAAGAACTCATTCTGTACTCAGGCCTGGGGCCCTGAGTGACTGGAGGGATATGGCTCCTGACCAAGCAGCTGATTGTTGTAGTTTTCTTGGCTGCTGTGTATTTTAATTGTTGGTACTGTATATGTATCCGTTTTTATTTTTAATCACTGTTCACTGCCCAGAATAATTTATTGTGATGGGTGGCTATATAGATTGGTTAAATAAATAAATAAATCCAAAGACGGTGATCATATTAATGAAGCATACATCTCTCCTTTTCAATTCAGCACTAGAACAGTTGCAACTGAAAATATTTTGCCTATCGGCTATCTGTGTTTCAGTTTATTGAATTTAGTAGTCCCACCTTTCTCTTTCTAGTACCTTATGGGATGCCTCAAGGGTGAATAGATTAATCTGAAGATAAATCATTTAGGTCTCTAATGAGCAATTGTTCATCACTATACACTAGCTGATCTTTCCACATAATTAAGTGACAACAGGCGAGGATCACTGTAGGAAAAATATGTCAATATTTTATGAGAGCAAGAAGAAAAAACAAAACAAAACAACCAAAATGGGAGTTCAGTAAAAATAAATTATTGCTGGATACAAACAAACAGGAAACACTATGTAGATCTTCAAGACATCTTTTAAATATAACTGGAAAGCCAGTTAGGTAGAATGGCTAAGTCATCTATCTAGTGGTTAAGACACCAAGCTAGAAAGCAAAAGGCCATGAGTTCAAGTCCTGCCTTGGCCATGAAAGTCAGCTGGGTGACCTTGGGCCAGTTACTCACTCTCAGCAAAGCTCACCTCTCAGGGTTGTTATTTTGAGGAAAATAGGAGGAAGGTATGTTGGGGATGTTCACTGCCTTGAGTTATTTGTAGAAATAATAAAGGTGGGAAATAAATAAATAATGATTTCATCCCAATAACTATTTTCCAAAACAAAAGAATCATAGGGAATATCTTATAAGAAATTAGCTGGATTGTTGGTTTTAATTCCAAAGATTTCCTCAACAGCATGTCATTCAAAACTCAGACATCAAATCTCACATACAAGTTGTAAGAGTAACAAAACATTTGTTTTTTTTTACTGAGATACAACTGTGCAAAATTCCATGGCACTTTTTCTAAACTATGCATGGGACTAAAACTTTAATGGCATGTGGAAAAGCATTTTGAAGCCAAGGAGATACACAATTGCTCATATATTAGTTGAAACACTCTTATCATTTTGTGTAATACTCATTGAGACATTTCTATAGTCACTAAACGTGTATTGTGCCAGCACAAAGCAATGCTAGCATAATCTGGGTCAATAAGATGCATGAAGATAGCTATATCCCTTTTTAGTGGCCCCTGTATATTCCCCCTCCCCTAGCTAATATGGTCATAACCCTTATTCTTGGCTCAGCCTCTTATTTTACAGTGCCATTTTGTGCCTATGTATTGATTGTTAAATGTCTTGTGCTGGTAACAATTGGAAAGATAAACTACTAATATGTTTTCTTCCACATTGATATTATAGGATAATTCCAATACACTCAGGGGCTTGCACTATGATATACTTATAATGGGTCTGGAGGGTAGAACTCTCAAATTTGGCCATCAAAACCTTTGCACGGCGTGTAATGAGAACTGCAAGAAAAGTTATGCATGTGGAGCCATAAACTTGGCTAGATATCTAGACACATTACTGACCAGCCTGCGAATATCCCTCTCACTCTCCCATTTGATCTTAGAGATTGCCTCCTGGTGGGACTGATGTTCACTCCGGAGGTCCCCAGCTTTGATCTTATCCGCCTGGATCATGTTATTCAGGGCTTCGTCCACCTGTTTCTTGGCAGACTTCAGTTCAGCGATCTCTTGCAAAAGTTTAAGGCGCTCAGAGTCAAATTGTTTCCTGGCCTCCTCACGAGCCTCAATGCTGAGGGCTGTCCGTACTTTATCGCTGGTCCCTTCCCGCAATGCATACAGGGCTGACTTGAGTCTCTGGATTTCACTGTCTCTGATTTTCATTGTCCGCGCCATTTCTTGCTCATGCTGTTTGATCAGGTTTTCCCGGACGGCTTGTAGCTCCTTCATCTTCTCCTCGTGGAGTTTAGCTTTGAGTTCAGTGATCTGCACGGTCTGTTTGCGCTGTTCTAATTCCCGGATCCGCTTTGTTTCTTGGATTTTTTCCCTTTCAAGTTTGTTCACCTACAGAGTAAGAAGAGAAAAAAGAAGAGAAAATAGATATCAGCAGCATTATCACCATCACTATCACACAGAGCCCCTAATTACACAGGATCTCCAGTTTTAGAAATGTTCGCACAAATTGCAATAGGTGCACAATTTCAAATAACTTTGAGTTGTCAAAGACACTAAAAAGCAGCTCAGAAGAGTAACTAAGGCCTACATTTTTAACCAAATCTTAGTTGAAGAGCAACCACTATAATCAATCTATTAAGAATCCAAACACGTTCTTGTAAATCCAAAGTATGCTGAAGATGCTTTTCATATAGTACATCAAATCACCATTTATATTTTTAATCCTAGGAGAATACTTAAAAAAAATCATGGCAAGAGGTTTAGTAGATCTCAAGAAGTGTATCCCAGGGAATATTAATTACCGTGAGCTCCAAATTGCCTAATCCTAAATTAAACATAATTTAAAAAAATATGCTTAAATATATATCTCAGTGTGTAAAAGCTACTCAAAATACGGGCCCTCTAAAAAAAGTCAGGAATGTTTAAAAGAGATGGAAAATATAAAAACAACAACAACATGGTGATGAAATGAAAAGAAACTATAGATTATTCATTTGATGACTTTCTGTATACAAGCTTTTTTTGTGGAGGGGAGGTGAAAGTTGGGTGAAGAAAAATTAGGGTCCCCAAGTGATAATGTAGGCTGAGATACTTATCTGTTAGGCACAGTTCCATATGGCATTTTCATCCTTATGCTGCCTTTTTTTTAATGCTATGCTTCAGCTAACCATGTGATAAATGTCATATCTAGCCTAGCCTTTAGGTAACATTTTTTTTCCTTTCATTTACCTGAAATCTGATGACAAGCCTCCTGCAGTGTGTATAAATCCCAACCTGAAATTATGGCTACAGTTTCCATTCCCTCTCTATCAGCCCAAAAGCAACATATAGTAGATCTTGCTTCCTCCACACGGAGTTCAAAAGAATCATAATGCTTGTCCTTATAAATATTTCATGGTACATTTGAAAATAACATAATGTCTTTTTGCAAGGTAAGCGGCTTTCAGCAACCACATGAGGGTAGACCACAAATGCAATGCAGCAATAACAAACACAGTTCAATAACGGAACATTTCTGGGACACCATTTTGATTTAATGTTAAGATTGACAGATTTCTGTAAACTGTTGGCTGGAAAAAGGCTTTAATTATACGTATAAGATTTTTCTTTAACTATTTGTTGAATAGCTTGGCAAATAGAGCAATAATTAGGGGAAAATGGAAGTTAAGAAGAAATGAGGAAAAAAACATGGCAGAAAAAATTGCCACTGATAACTTCAAATAAACTAACTTATATAGTAATATGGGGTGAGGCGCCTGTGACCTTTTAGATGTTTCTGAATTGCAATTCTCATAGATACATTCAGCATGACCAATGAATGCAAAGGGTGCTAGATACACCCATATTTTCTCCCAAAATGAGATTGGATCTTATATTAGTTTTTGCTCCAAAAGACACATTAGGGCTTATTTTCTGGCTAGATCTTATTTTGGGGGAAATACGGTACTAAATGCATCTGTCTGGGTTATGATCTTAACTGGGGCTTAGCTTGGAGGGTAGGGCTTATATTACAAGCATCCTGAAAAATCATGCTAGGGCTTATTTTCAGGTTAGTCTTATTTTCGGGGAAATATGGTAGTTCAGGATGACCAGTCATGTGAAAGGTTCCTTGCAGTTATACTACTACTACTACTACTACTAATAATAATAATAATAATAATAAAAAAGTTGGAAGGGGCCTTGGAGTTCATCAAGTCTAGCCCCCTGCTCAGGCAGGTAACCCTACACCATTTCGGACAAATGGCTGTCCAGTCTCTTCTTAAAAACTTCCAGTGTTGGAGCATTCACCGCTTCTGAAGGCAGGTTGTTCCACTGGTTAATTGTTCTAACTGTCAGGAAGTTTCTCCTTAGTTCTAGGTTGCTTCTCTCCTTGATTGGTTTCCATCCGTTGCTTCTTGTCCTGCCTTCAGGCACTTTGGAGAATAGCTTGACTCCCTCTTCTCTGTGGCAGCCCCTGAGATATTGGAACACTGATATCATGTCCCTTTTTGTCCTTCTCTTACCATGTCATGGTAATGTCTTTCAGAAAGAGTACAAACATCAAGGAAGACAGAAGGAACTTGGAGACAATTGTTGAGCTATTTTTTTTTAAAAAAATATGCATTTTATGCAAGCAAAATTCAGTATTTCACATGAGGAGAATAAGAGAGGAGAGCAAGAACAAAGACCAGAAGAGAATGCATGTAGAAGAGACTGTGATTATCTCTGATGAGATAAACAGGATACTCAGGAACAGGAATTTATGACTGCTTAATTTTAGCAATGCAATAGAGGTTCTTGAGATATATTTATAACCCTATTTTGATATATATTTGAAACCATATTTTATTTTATTGCATGTCTTTCATCCCATTTCATTCTAATTTGAGTAATTTCAGCAAGTTCCCCTTTTGTTTTATTCTTCAAATTATCTTCTATGACACGCCCTCTGATTGTCAATATAACTGATACAATAATCAGCCTCTGATTGTCAATACAATTTATACATTCACTGCTGTAGATTTGGAGACGTTCCAGATTATTTTATGTATATATCCTGCCAAATCCTGTGACTCATGGAGATTAATACTGTACAAGTCATTAAAATACTAGAATACAATTAAAGCCATACCCAATATAACACTATAGCATCAATAGAAATAAACAATAAATAGTTCCAAATACACTGGCAGCTATCCAATAATCTGTCTTGGAAGATTCTTTAGGTTTTGAGTCAGACAGAGGTTGACTAGCATCCTGCTTATATTTTCTTGGATCATCTTGTCATAATTCTTCAGCCTCCTTCTCTAGTTCAACCGCATTCCAGTCAGAGCTGGAAAATTCCCGTTTGTCATCACCTGGTCTTTGAAATGGTGATGCTTCATGAGCAGCTCCCTTATCTAATTCAAAGAGGCCTTGGTGGCACTGTGGTTAGAATGCAGTATTGCAGGCAAACTGTAGGAGATGATCAGGCTGAGTCTGAGGAACGGATCAAAGGCGTTATAAGTCATGAGTCCCTCTGTGCCCGCTGGAGATCTAAGTCCAGCCCAACTGAATTCCTTTCTGTTCTTAACCCCTGCACATTTCCTTTAATGATCACTTGATCAGCTTTTTGTAGAGAACTTAAGTTTGCAATAAATCTTTATACTCATTTGAACTGCCTGAATCTGCTTGACACAAACTCTGCCCACAGCCAGTAGTTCAATCCTGGCTCAGGGTGACTCAGCCTTCCATCCTTCTATCGTCAATAAATTGAGGACTCAGATTCTTGGGGGCAATATGCTGACATTTTTAACTGCTCAGAGAGTGCTGTAAAGCACCACGAGGGAGTATATAAGTCTAAGTGCTATTGTTATTACTATTTTTATTTATTTATTTTTATTCTGCCTTTATTATCTATACAAATAAGACAGCAAACTTATCCAACATTCCCTCCTCCTATTTTTCTCATAACAACAACCCTGTGAGATGGGCTGGATTAAGAGACAGTTACATGTCCCACCATTTAACTAACATTGATTCATGATACAGTAATATGTTAATTTGGGTAACTGTGTTCAAGTTGTAATCATTCAAAAATGAAGTAAAGACAGGGACACTTTTTATCACATATTTCATGGTTCAGTAATGGAAAAAGTTTTCGCGTTTAGTTCTGGTGACCCTAGCAGAGATAAAGTGTCCATTTTAATGTAGTTTGGGGTAAGTTGGAATTTACTGTTTTGTTGTAAAAAAAATTAGTATGTACATTAAGTCACTTGCTTTCTGTAAAATAAGGACCTAAGAATTAAGAACAAATATCATGTGAGGTAGAAGAATTAAATATTTTTAAAAAATGTATTAAAACAGAAACAAAAATACATTTTGGAAGTAAGGAATGTCATTGTTGCAAGAGATTACCCTATGCCAGAAAAATGGGAAATCCTGACAACCCCCCAAATATGTCACTAATATGAAATTCTGTTTTTTTTTTCAACTGTTCTCAAATTTTGGATGAATATTATATAGATGGTTTGCATACAAGCAATATACTGATGTCCCCCACAAAACTGCTAGGCCAAAATTCCCAGCAAGGCATTTATTTAAATCTAACACCTTCTAAAATATGTAGCAAAACATTTTAGCTCTTCCTACCATGTTGAACAACATTGCCACTGACTCTGGGCTTGTTATTATGGATGCCTCCAGATTGGAGGTTCCTAGAAAATTAAAAGCATTCTGCAATTATTTTGTACTTTCAAAAATTACTTTTGGTAATAAAAAAAATTGAAAATATGTTGTGAAATATATAACATTGGTTCATGTTCGGGTTCATGCCTAGGTAATGGCAAACCATTTCCAAAATACCTTGCCCAAAACACCTGTAGAGACTACTTCAGGTAGTCACTAATACTCAGAAACTGACTTGAAGGTACAGAAACACATAAGAGCATAATGAATGCTGATCTGCTTTCAGTCTAACTTTTTTCAGAAAGTATTTATGGACATAAAATGGGGTGATTTCCTGGTAGATTTTTCTAAGTTTCTTGAAAAAAAAAGGTTTACACTCTTTTTAACAAGGAAAGAAATGGATTAAAAATAATTGCTTAGTTTTCCTTTGTTCATTTTTATGACATTTGCAAGGGATGGTTCCCAGCCAAGGCTACAGCCAGAGGCTGTAATACTACCACTAGCTTAGATACCACCACTAGCTTCAATATATTTCATTGCATTCATATGTTCCATATATTTATATGTTCTTCTTAGTTAATGAGTGTGCACCTATTTTTATGGTATTATGGTTTAAACTAAGTAGGAGTGCATTCATTTATAGTGGTTCTTAATAAAGCCCTTAGTAGTATAAGGCCTGGTCATCTAAAGGACCATCTATTTCCTGTTGCTTTTGCCCAGCTATATGACTAGGCACTGTTGGCATGCTCCAGGTCCCACCCATTACAGTGTCACCTAATGAGTACAGCATGTCTTCTCTATTGCAGTTCCTGCCTTTGCAACCACATCCCCACCCTCAAAATATCTCTGGCCCCCATCTTACCTAGATTCAAGAGCCATGAAACCTGGCTCTTTCTTCGAATCTTGGGTTAGAGTGGCAGGTCCTGCATGATAACATCTTTTAATGATCCATTTTTCTTCTGGCATTTGGATGTGTGTGTGATTGTTTTTGTTGTATATCACACATAGTTATTATAGAGTTGGAGAGCCAAATAAACAAATAAATGTGAAAGATCAGGAAAGGACAGAATATCTCTGTGTGGTCTTTAACACATTAGTCATTCTAACCTCTTGGCATTTAGCTTTGGCTCTTTAGACACAGTCACATTTTGTTCAGGATTTGGGGGAGCCTCTTAAACAAAGTTTGTTTAGGAAGTGGCAGTTAAGAAGAAAAGAATGAAAAATGCATGAATGAAGATCGGCTTGGGCAATGTTGGACGCAGCCCAGAATACAATTTAAGGAAAGAAAAGGATCTCATTTAATCTTTTGTTTCAGAATACATGAGACTGCTATCCATGGGCAGCTTTCTCGTTATTACAAAAATTAAAAAGTAACTATGATGAATAACACAATTTTTTTCTCTTCTACTTAAACTTCCACTGACCCAGAACAATGCCTATTAGATGCAGATTTTGTTGCCCAGGTGCCGAAAATATTTCAATTTTTTTTTTTGATAACTAGGACGTCCAAACATCTTTAATGGTAGAAAAACAGAGAGATAACTTGAGAATCAATTTCTTTTAATATTTAATTCTTAGCATAAAAAGTTATCTGGGCAGATGAAAATGTAGCATTCATCAAATTAACCTGCTCCCACCCCTGCCTTCTAGAATCTGGGCAATTATACCATAGCTCTTAAATAAATCAGCCAATTTCTGTCTGAGTGCTAAAACATTGATATCAATGACGAAAAATGAATAAGCATTCAAGACTGCAGCAGAACTTCTATGTATAGATAAAGTACAGGATTATGCACTGATTTTTATTCACTTGACATGATTTCTGTTATTAAAATGGACTGCAAATTGAACCTTGACAGTCTTATGGAAGGATAAAGTGGGCAGTGTTATGGGATACGTTAGCCTGTAGCTAAGTACCAAGCCCAAGAGCATTTTTCTTTCATCCCAATTGTCCTATAGTGCAAGAAACTGATATCCACAAAATTATCCTCTGAGGTAAATGATAAATAACCAACCCTTAAAGGTTTTCATGAAGAAAGACGTTGTGCAAGCTAAAAAACTGCTGCTCAGTTATGGAGTCTAATGGTGGCTTAGATTTGTTTTCCCAGAAAAAGAATGATTACTGGCAAAAGAATGAAAAAGTCTGGGTCACAGAAGTCAATTACCTCTCTTTGGAAAAAGGAGAAGAAAAATCTACTTCAAAAGAGAATAGTTTCAAAACCAGTTTTGTTGTCTGAAGGACTGAAGATGACAGCCAAAAAAGAAAAAAAGATTTTTACTAAAAAAGCATGATCCATAGACAAAACAAAATGAGGTAAAAGAGAATGCAGAGGTAATACAAGGACCTGAGTGGGGAAGATAGGAGATAATTTCTGTAAATGCTGTCTTATTTAACAACAGCAATAATAACAACACACCACTACAATTTAATGCAACCTTTAAGAAAAGATGAGCAGTACAACCCAGGCAAAGGATTGGACTGTCTCTCTGAAAAATTCTGGTGGGGGTGGGATAATATGAATGATGGGGCATTGAAGAGGAAAGCCTCGCATCATATTTTGTTTTAATTGTTTTTATGATTGTTCACCATTCAGAGTCACTGGTTTGAGATGGGGCGACAATGCAAATTGAATGGATGAATAAAAGATAAATTTCACAAAACGTCCTTATATCATTATTTTATCCTTACTGAAAAAGTCAAGGAAAGAAGGTTCCTGTCCTGTTTTAGCTCAACAATGCAATAGATGTAGATGGTATGGAATCTTTTTCTTCCTCCAGGGAAGGAAAAGTGAAAGCTATTTCTCTTGCTGTGCACAAAAGAATATGTCAGCCATGCCCAAACAGAGGTGACCTTGTAAGTGCTCCCGGAAAAAAAAGCATCCCAAGAAAATCTCCAGCCACTTTAGACTCCTTAAATGCTCCCAGTTGAGAACAGCCTTTCACAGGACAGCTCTGCTTGTTCCAACTGGGTGATATGCAGGAAAGCAAAGTCAACTTCTTGAATATCTTGCATGGACAACTAGGCTTCATTGTTTATTAAATGGCCAGTCTTTCCTCAAACAACCGTTTCAGAACAGGGCACAGGAATATTGTGCAGAATATCCTGTCAAGCAGAACCCAGAGATGCTGTGAAGTTTAATTGACACTGAAGTACTTGTCCACCATACAGTAATGCGTATACAGCAGTGGGAAAATTGTCAGAAGAAAACATTTCCTTCAGACTCATCACAAAAGTCATTTTCTAAAATATGCAAAATAAAGTTTTAATGAACTAGAAATTCTTTGGAACAAAGTACTTTGGACTGATGAAACAAAAATTGAATTGTTTAGTTGCTGCCACAAAAATATATATATCTGGAAAGTAAGGGCAAAGCATTTGAAGAATATTTGTCAGTCATTAAGCACAGGACTGGCTCAAGTTATGTGGCCATCAGTGGCATAGGAAATATTGTGCAGGTGGAAGAAGGAATGGATCAGCTAGATATCAATATATTCTAGAAGCTCAATCAGTGAAAAAAGTAAAACTAAAACAGTAAGACAACAATCTGAAAATCTATGAAGAGATTCCAACACATAGCACATACAAGGGTATTTAAACATACTTCTAAGCTAGAATAGTTCTGTGAGGAAAAATGGAAAAAATTCCTAAAGTACAAACAAACAAACACTTAATTGATTACAAGAAACATTTGAAAACTATTTTTCTGCAAACAGAGATGTTAAAAGTATTTATGCAACGTGTTCCTCATTAAGCAACCATCAAGGAAGAAACCACTCTCTAACTGCTTTCCAACCAAGATTGCTAAATAAAAGCAATCAGCAAACACTATTCACCATACATCAATGATGTTATCCAGGCTGGTAATAAAATGTCTGTGAGAAAACAACCAAACTCAAGAACATCAAGAATCCTATATTTCTGTAATTATGAGGAACATATATAGTATATATCAGGGGTGTCAAACTCGCAATGTCATGTGACGTGTTGCGATGTATTGTGACATTTTTTCCATTGCCGGCAATAGGGAGGGTGCGGTTTCGGCATGATGCATCCGGCCCATGGGCCAGCAGTTTGACACCTCTGGTATATATGTATACATGTGCTTAGTATAAACATGCTACTTGTTCCTTATAGGAGATGTGGTTTTTTCCCACATTTTTGTTTTGTATGATCCTTTGTATGATTCCCTTCCCCAACAGGTAATAAAAACATTACACGCAATTTTATTTCTTTAGAAAAATATTTTAGTTTTAGACAGAAATCTTTCTGTACTGAGCTACAGTAAAATGACAATAGGTGGAAAACAAGTATGCTCTGGAGACGAGTATTAATCCGGCTATAATTCATTGGTTGAATTCCCCTTTATGTTTACTCTGGAAAATGTTAGCAATAAATAAAATGTATTTTTCCAGTATTCTTCCTTCCTTCCAGAATGAAGTGAGCAAACTTTAGTTCACAATTTGCGATGCAACCATTATTTAAATCCCCTAGCATTTGCTATCAGTGCTTTACTCACTTTAGACTTCTCTTGATGAAGCTCGATTTGAATATCTGTCAGCTTAGTCCTGAGATCTTCGTTAGCAGCTTGTAAGGACATAATCAGTACTTCGGGCTTTTCAGCCTTGCTGCGTCCTTTTTTGGACATGGCTGTTTGTAATTGTAAATCTGTGTGTGAGAATTCTTTTTCAAATTGAAATATCCATTTTTTTTATTTCTTTCCATCCAATATGTTGTGGCATCTACAAGGTGACATTACATCTTCTCATTAGCTCCTTGGGCAGTCCTGTCAAAAATGATACAGAATTTGATATTTGTTAGTGAAAATGAAACGACTAACAACAACAACAAAAAAAGAGATCAAGATTAGTTTGCAAAATTCATGGCCTGAGATTTCATCCAAGTATCAGTTTAGGCCTACACTGCTTTCTTTATAGGCAAAGAAAGTTGAATATTGCCATCTACTTGGGAAAATAAGTCCAAGTTTATTTGGGTTTGGTATTAGGAAGGAACATTGCTTTTAATGCAAAATGATTTCCACAATAACATTTTATTTTTTGACTTAATGACGGACTAAACTTCACCAAAACTAATCTTGTTCCTTTTCATAGAGATAATATAATGCAAAACCAGCACAGGATTAGCAATACCTCAGTTCTAGTATTAATACAGAAATAGAAACAATCAAACAAAACAAAACAAAACAGTTGATGACTTGTGTGTTCATATCTTTTCTTTTTTCATATCTACAATAAATCAAATTGTATTTAGGTCCATGATGTTTCTAAATGTAATAAAGCCAGTTTGGTATAGTGATTACACTAGGAGACCATGAGTTCTCATTCTGCCTTAAGCACAAAGTCTGCTGGGTGAGCTTGGGCCAGTCAACTTCTTTCAATCCTAGAAATGAGGCAATGGCAAACCACTTCTGAAAGTGAGAACTTCAGAAGTCTATGCAGTTTTCAAGAATCAGACACAATTGAATGGTAGTGGAAAAAGAATCTGTGAACGCAGAAACTTTCTATAACTTTGACATAAATCTATTTCAGCATGGTTGGTGAAGGTTTTCGTCCTCACATTTGGAATCTCCCCACTGTATCAATTTCAGATTTGAAGCAGACTTCAAAAAGGCCCACCAAAGAAATAAATATGGTTTTCAATTACCAAAGAATGTTAAATACAATTCGGATTGATGAAGTTTTTAAAAATATATTTAAGAGATGTAGGATTTCATTCCTTGATTTCCACTGAGAATCATTTAGCTTTCAGTAAATTATTTGATACACTTAATTAATTGTAGGCTTGGTGAAAGATCTGTGATTAGTAAGAAACCAGCTACATTTACCTGTCATTTTAAAGATATACAGTATGTGCGTTTTAATATGCACCATCTATGCATGCAGCTGAAGCAATGGATGTACTAATGGAGGGAAGCGATGAAGAAACGGGATGGGAGAAGAAGGGTAAAGGCAAAAAGAGCTTTGCACATCCCAGTGTCTTAACTGTGGGGCTTATGCATGCTTTTCTATATATATTTCCTCAACTAGCACTAGTCATGTTTGAGGGTAGAAGGTTCATTCTCTGAGCTTGAGGGTTGGTTTCCAAACATTTCGTTACCAGGCTAGGTAACATCTTCAGTGGCGTTTAGGGTTAGGGTCTGTCAGTGTTCTATTTATATAAGGGCTTCAGGTGTAGGAATGTCAAGTTTGTGTCTTGTGATGGGCTAGGTGTGAGTCATTAGATGGTTGGAGAGTAGGTCAGGAGTGAGTGGGAGGCTGGTAATGGGCCTTGTGCTGGGAAATTTATATCAGGTCAAAGGTAGAAGGTGGAAGATAAACTGCTGGGGGTGGGGAAGAGGGGCTTGACGGTTGGTGCTGTCTCCGGATGGCTGGTCAATTGATTTGGATTCTGAGGGTCATGTTCAAAGGAACATTCTAGTCATATTCCTTTGAAGGACTAGAGTTACTACAGGGGACATCTGCAACAAGGAGGAAAAGAGGGCTCTGACTTGTGTACATTTTGACATCATACAAGGTTTGCTGCTGCTGCTGCCGATCATCAGTAATAACTTAAAGCAATGTTCTATTCCTTTAAAAGTTTACAGCTGAGGCTTCCGGTTCCGATTTCATGGCGGTGCGGTCGAGCGAAGGGCGTTGTCCCTTTGCTGATCGAGTTTCCCCTGCCAGTAGATGCCTTAGAGGGTCAAAAAGACGCTCTGGAGGAGTGTCTACCATTGAGGAGGCTTCTCGGATAGTTGCAGAGAAGCGGTGGCGTCCTCTGTGCCCTGAGTATCTCCTTTTGGCCGACAGGGTAAAGATCGGCCAGTAAAATGGCTGATCATTTAGCTGTGCCAACCTTAAGCCATAAGATTATCTAAGCAAGCAGACCCACCGTGGAAGATTCGGTGGGATTTTTTTTACCTCTATTTTCTTTTTTTTTCCTATGAAAAGTTTTTTTTTCTGGAATTATTCCCCTTTTTGTTGAAGCAGCATTTTAAATGGGGGGAAGTGAAGCTTAAGAAAAGGACGAAACCTATTTTTGTTTTAATGGCTGATTTTATTTTTGAATACTTTGGAGACCCCAAAATTTTTCTTTTAGAGAGACTTAAGAAGCTATGCATCTGGAGAGTATTATTTTTTCTTATTTTTTATGTTTTCCAAAAAGACTGATTATTTGTAACTTTGATTACTCATTGGGGGACATCTGCTGGAATTACATATTGCTCTTGCTATTTTTTTCTTTTCTCTTGGAATTTGCATAAAGGAAATAGACTAAGAAATTTGGGAGGAGATGGATATTGAGTGACTGTGTTTAAATATAGTTTCCCCCCAAAAGAGAATGTCTTCAAATATGATAAAAATGGAGGAAACCCATTCAGATTTTATTTATAAATATATTTTGGATAAGATCTTACAGTATACGGAGATGATAATTGCTTGTAAAAAGGAGATTTCTTTACATCGACAAAGTCAAGCACAAGCTTTAAGTGAAACTGTAGTTTGTATTTAAAAGACTTGCTCTCAGTTTACTGAGATGGAAGAAGCAAATGTACAGTTGGATTTGCAATCGATACCGGGAAAAAGCCTTGATATAAATGGTCAGATGACCTATAATATGGAAATGGAGGAGCTTACTTCAGAAGATCAAGCTGATTTGCAGATACCATTTGATTTTCTGAGAGAGGAAAAACTATTGGAAGAAGAGCAAAACTTGACTAAAAAGGACTATACCCAAAACCAGATTTCAACTAAAGTTTATGCAACCTTGAAAAAGATGGGAAAATGACGTTTTGCAATGAGCTTTTCAGAATGACTATAAATCTTATACCAGCCTAAGAAAATGGATAATGGGAGACCTCTTGCTCCTATGCACAGTGTGGCAGGAGACAATGGGAGAGCTATTTGCGAAACTAGAGGCTCGACTATGGAAACCTATTTGGAATAGAAGGAAACCCAGAATAAGATATAAATATTAAATTTGAGAGGATAATTATGGATGGTAAAGGTTTTATAATGATTTGGACTGTCTGGGATTTGGTTTGTGTTAAATGGGAGGCTATTATGAAATGATTTAGAATTTAATATTGAAGTATAGCAAGAATATGTGTTCTTTTTTGTGTGTATGTTTTTCTTTTTTTTTCTTTTCCCATTTGTGGTTTTTGTTTTGGAATGAGATGGAATTAATAATTGGAGAATTATTGAAAAAGAAAAGAAATATAGTTGAGAAATGTAGGAATTTAGTTTTGAAGCTAATATGCTTAAATAAGAGAAATTTGGGCACCCTGAAATACTTAAATAATTAGGCTAGCTTAAATTTAAATATTTGGAAAAATTAATAAAGTTTAAAACAGGATCTTTGGGATAGATAAGGAGCTTTCGTAAAAGATTATTGACTAATGAAATTTATATCTGGCAATATACTTAATGAAAATTTGTGTTAGAAATGTACTAATGAGATTCCAATAATTTAAATAGATAGAGAACGTTGGTTTTGATTTAAGCATTTAATTTATATATAGCTACATATTAAAGAATGAATTGGCTATAGGATTGTATTAATTTGATTATTATATTGATATTGAGCGGTTGAAAGTTTTTATTGATTAAGGAAATTTATATTTAGATATATTAATGAATGAATTTATTTGAATTTAATTGATTATAATTTCTACATAGATAGGGAAGTTTTAAGAAATATTGTGTGAATTGTATATATATATATATATATATATATATATATATATATATATATATATATATATATATATATATATATGTTATTGTTTTCTTTTTGTAATTGACCACCATATCTCCAGCTGGTTGTTAAGCTTCTGTTGGTGTAAAATGGAAAAATAATAAAAATTGTTTATAAAATAAAATAAAATAAAAAGGTTACAGCTGAGATAAGAGTGGTTTGGTTTTTTTGGCACAGTTCAACCTTAGTTTTCCTGGACACATGTACCACTTCTATTTGTTACAAGCACCGCTCAAGGGGAAGATAAAGGGAAGCTATACCTGCTGTGTCTTCCAGGGGTTCTTAACCTTGGCAACTTTAAGATTTGTGGACTTCTGAGGAATTCTGGGAGTTGAACAAGTCTTAAAGTTGCCAAGGTTGAGAACCCCTGCAAGAAAGGTATTCAGATCTTCTGTAAATACTGTGTAGCGTGAGGGACTACATTATTAGTATGAAATATTATCCTCTTGGGGAAACAACATAAATTACAACCGGGTGTTTTTTTTTTCAGGCTGCACTTGGGAAGTAGGCACACTCCAAACCCTGGGAAGGGACAAAATTAATTTAGGTATGATTTATGTTCAGTGTATGTAGTATTAAGTTTAGTTGCTCTGATCACATCCCTTGTATTTAGTTACTTTCCTCTTCTGACCCATTACAATTATAATTCTGTGGCTACTTTTGTAGAGACTTTTGAAGGCTTTTTGGGTATTGTTTTTAGCCCAGAGTTTCATGTTATTTGAACTCCTATTTTATTGTGCTAGGACAGTTTGTCTTGTATACATTGCAATGGAACTTGCAAAGGATTTATATTAAATGATCAGTCATGATGTCAGAATATAAATTTTTCAATCATTTAGAAAGAAATGTATGCTCTATGCGAAGCTTGCTTGATTAAATTAATTTTACCCTTATACTAGTGTAACTGAAAGACTCTGAATTTAAGTTGGTCACTCAAGCATAAAAGAGCAGATAGAAATATATGTTCTCTCTCACACACTTAGACAAAAATCCTATACAGTGTCCAGCTTCTGCAGTTTATTAACTTAAAGA